CTATAGTGGAAGGTTTTTAGACTACAGACTATAGGGGGAGGTTTTAAGACTACAGACTATAGGGGGAGGTTTTAAGACTACAGACTATAGGGGAAGGTTTTAAGACTACAGACTATAGAGGGAGGTTTTAAGACTACAGTCTATAGGGGGGAGGTTTTAAGACTACAAACTATAGGTGGGAGGTTTTAAGACTACAGGCTATAGGGAGGTTTTCAGACTACAGACTATAGAGGGGAGGATTTTAGACTATATGGGGGAAGGTTCTAAGACTACAGACTATAGGGGGGAGGTTTTAAGACTACAGACTATAGGGGAGGTTTTAAGACTACAGACTATAGTGGGAGGTTTTTAGACTACAGACTATAGGGGGAGGTTTTAAGACTACAGACTATAGTGGGGAGATTTTAAGACTACAGACTATAGGGGGAGGTTTTAAGACTACAGGCTATAGGGAGGTTTTCAGACTTCACACTATATGGGGGAGGATTTTAGACTACAGACTATAGGGGGAGGTTTTAAGACTACAGACTGTAGTGGGATGGTTTTAAGACTACAGACTATGGGGGATGGTTTTTAGACTACAGACTGTATAGGGAGGTTTTATTTCATTAAAATTATGCGCTGTTTTTACTTTGATATTTTCAGTTGGGTATTTCAATATTTACGTTTTCGTTTTGATGTAACAACTTTCTATGCTGTATCACCAAAACACATGGCAGTGCTTTCTTTCAAGGTTATTTGACTCGGCACGGTTTGATAGAAGATAGGTAAAAGTGAAAGATATAGAAAAGTCAGTTCAACGAAGGACCACAAAACGTTTACTTGGAATGAAGGATATGTCGTACCAGAACAGGCTACAGAAGCTAAATCTTCCAACTTTATCATACAGAAGGATTATAGGGGATATGCTAGAACTTTATAAAATCACAAACGGTATGTATGATAAGGATTTCTGCAATTTTGTAAAGATTAAGATGGACGTAGGAATAAGAAGTGGTCGAGGACACTCCAAAACGCCCTTTCCTCAACATCACAGGACCAACAGAAGAGGAAATAGTTTTGCTATAAGGACTGTAAAAACATGGAATAATCTTACAGAAGACATTGTATCTGCTCCAAACATAAATACTTTTTAAAACAAACTGGATAAGTTTTGGGAAAATCACGATATCTTATATAATTATAGAGCTACTGTAAACTTACCGGAAAATGAACTTTTAACCATAACAATATAATTTTGAGTTTGGTGAAGAGGAACACTGTATTCCTGTACCGGAAACATTACCGTACCGTAGAGTTATTACTCTTTGTTCTCCCATTGTTCTTTGCAGCTTGTTGATTCGATCGTCTCCATCAGTTTGGAATTTGTTTCATTTTTTTTTAACTTAATCATAATGACGATATTATGTTTCATTAGTGACATTTTGATTAGGCAGTATAATTGTTTCATTTTGATGTTTGTGTAGATTTTATTTTTCAAAACATTTCCCAATGACATGGAGAGGGCGTATGTTGTTTTGTCACACACTATTCTTGTTTCGTATACACTTGATACTACGAAGAAACATTGTTCTATTTGCATTTCTACTACTACACTGTCTTCAGTTGTGGTGAATCATCGATATTTTGAAAAAGCGATTTTTTTGTGCCAGAAAGAAAGAATTGGGTGTGTTGTCTGGTTTAAACGTATGAAAAAGAGAAAAGAGGGAAAACGCATCCCTCCCCATTCTCCCGCTCAGCGTCGGTCCATTTGAAGAGAGTAATTCCCCTTAATAAAGACATCTTCAATCGGAAGGAGTGAATGCGGTATTACCCGCCAAATTGTGAACAGTTCCACCGAAACGATGTCGACGAGTAAGATGACAGAAACGCCGGAGGATGAAATTGTACATTATGACCATGAAAAAAATAAGTAAGACTGCTATAAATCAGTCTAGGACAGATATGCATATTCTAAGCCTCGTCTGTCAATTGACTCATTATGAGTGTTACAGGTTGGCTGGGCCATGCTTAAATAAAAACACGAAACCTGTTGCGAGTTCTGGCCATGGTTTACTGTGTGTACATAAAGAGTATGAACTCTTTGAATATACAAAAATAAAACAATATAACTACACTAAACATAAACATCAGACAAATATGACTAACACATATTAGTACGGAACATCATTATCATTTAAATAGAATATAATACAATTAACTACTAACGAGTGACTTGAAAAAATCTAATGATATCAAAATGAAATATGTCCAGGTAAGTACAGACATACATTATATAGAATAGATAATAGATACAGTACAAGTATGAACAGTATCGGTAGTTATGGTAAATACATTAGGTTTAAAGAAACTGGTGAAATTACCTATGTGTGGCACGAAGTTCGTGTACATTTTTATTTGTCGTAAAGGTAAAGTCTGCATAGTTACAAATGAAACATATGACTTTTGAGTATAAATGAATAGACTAATTCTGACGAAAATATCAGGATATAGATTTAAATGAATTACATTCAAGCAGATCCAAATAGTTTAATTTGAATAACGCAACATCATAAAGATATGATAATACAGATAATTATAATCTTTATCTTTACAATACCTGGATTTTATTGTCCATTCTAATGATCAAACACAATAACAATTGATGGGAGTGTGGTGGATATTAAAATTGATATAAACTTACTTTACTGGTTTGCGGGTATTTCACGATCACTTACTAAAGTGTCAGATCCATCTGTCGGTCAGTCAAACATTGACAAGAAGTTGCAAAAAACCACGAAATCAAAAGAACCAATAATATAAGACATAAGATAGGTGACCAATGCTCACAGGACACTATATGAAAAAGGGCAATAATGAGTATAACCACTTAAGTATATACACGACTAAGGAACAAGATACAGTAAACAAGATTTAACAATTACGGACACAATACAATTCACATTATATTAAAAGTCAATTCTGCCACATGATTGAATTGTTTGATGAGGTAAGTACCTACAAAGTTTTCTGTCTCTAAAATGATAATTTACTGTCAGTGATATTGACTGATATGTCAGAAATATCTCTTGGACTAATTACCATTGCATCCGTGCATTCAGTATAGATCCCAACCAGTTGCATCTCACGAGCAACACTTCCTTGTATCTGGAATGTAAATAAACTCAACACAATTTATAGTGGACTGTGAACATTACTATTGGCTGTTTACATTCCCAATACAAATGCTTGAGTCACTGGTCCTTTTTGAACTTTTTTTTCCATTATGTATTGTACACAATTAAAAGAACAGGTTTTAAATTTGTTATGGTTTGTCTTGCTGTATTTGAACTAGAATAAAACAGCATCGACTACTGATAGAATATCCATAAATTAATGAAGCTTAGAACATGCATATCTGTCCTAGGATGATTTTTTATATGTAGTTATGAAATTTATGACACCTTAATCTTTATTTATGCCATTTTCATCGTAAACACACACCGACCTCAGGAGTCGCTGCTCTTTCTTGATTTTTAAGTATTTAAGTCATTTTTGGGGCTCAGATATTTCACACATGAGCTTTATCACTTTTCTTTTTCAAAACTCAAGTTTGTCTAAATCAATATATGGATGAAACAATAATATTTTGAAATTGTTTAGGTCCTGGCATCAAACCTTCAAAAATTGCTGTCGGACTCAAAACATTTTTCGGGACTAAAATTTGCTTAGGGTTAGGGTTCATTCTCTTATGCATTTCAGGATTTTCCATAAGAGCCGGTTACCGGCCAATTTGAACGGCTACTTTGATCATTTGGCCGCCTACACCAATCCAGTTCCGTAATAATGTTCCGTACACGAATACACATACACGGCAGGCCAGCCTCCTACTTTCACTACACAACCTACTACTAACAAAATTATGGAAAACCCTGCATTTAGACTTTTTTCAACCCACTACTATCAGATAGTGGGCTATTCAAATTGTCCAACATTTTGTACATCAGTCATTTATTTTTCCTCTCATCTGCCTGTCTATAATCAATTCTTGTGATTGCTATCTCTAAAAAGTACTGAATTGACCTTTCTCAAATTTTATATATAAGTTCCCTAGATGCACCCATTTGATTTTGGAATTGATCAGATATAAGAAATTGACAGACTGGTTGCCATCTTGGATTTTGATTATGAAAGTTGTTGTTGGTGTATTTTGAAAAGTACCGGATGGATCTTTTGTCAAATATTTGTATGTAGATCCCCTTGTTCCATTGTTGTGCCCATTTGATTTTGAGATTGATCAGAAAAACAAAATGGCCCACAAGTGAACATTTTGGATTTGACAGTTAAGATTATTATAGCTAATGGAATTTTCAAATATATGATTTAAGAGTGAAAACAAAGGAAAAGATCCAACTTATAAAGATCAAAGGATGTGGGTAACACAATTCTTCTCTTGGCTCGGTATGATTATCACACACTCCATCACTTACAGTTGTCAAACAATATGTAAATAGATTATTGAAAGTTTAACATAAAATAAAGGCCAGATTATGTCTAATCCATTATACAATTACAACTATGTTAAGGTCAACTTTGACCCTTTTGTCCACATTGTCGAAGCTGCGTCTTGAAAACTTTAATAATAATTATGACCCTTAATTTAAAACATTTGAAGTCTTTTTAAATGGTTATGTATGTGTTTATCATTTTGTCTGTGCCAAATCTCAAGTTTTTTCTAGGTCTTTTACTAGACTAAAAATTACCTATTTGTTATACATTTTGTTTAGCTCTTGAAATGTTTATTTTGAAGTGGTGTTTTATCTCATGTTCAATATCTAACACAACTAAGCATGAGTCATTGTTTAGCAGGAGACCATGAGATGCTCATTATACTCTGCTTAAATATCATGTAATTACTTCATGCTCTATCATTGTATTTTGTATAGAGTCAAAATGGCTGTAAATCTGACTTTATTTTTCTCTTTAGAATCCTAGGTAACAAGAGGGAGGGTTACCTAGAATGGCCAGACTATTTTATGGCAATAGCTTTTCTGTCTGCACAACGGAGCAAAGACCCTAGAACACAGGTACAACATGTAGTAGTTTTTTCAAGTTGAAATGTATTATCATACAAAACATGTTCCTTTGGTCAATACTTAATATTACCTGGTAACTAGAATTAACATGTATTTGTAGGATAAGGAGATTTTTAAGAATTATTCTTAATTCAAGTGTGACCAACGAAGGAAAATTAAGGGAAGGGGACTTTAATGAGCCAGCGAAACTAAACTCTGAATGATTTCAGATGTAATGTTTGTACTTAGTAAGGAATTGATATTGGTTTCAGGTTGGAGCCTGTATAGTAAATACAGATAACAAGATCGTGGGTATAGGTTATAATGGAATGCCACAAGGCTGCAGTGATGATCTCATGCCATGGAGCAGAAATGCTGACAACATCCTCGACACAAAACAGCTCTATGGTGATTGTTTCTTAGTCTTAGAAAACCAAAAACATTTTCATCATTTCCACCCGTCTTTAGTACAAGGCCTTAACAATGCAAGCTGCTTCTGTATGAAAACAGCATGCTTTTTCTTAAACTTTGATTTTTTAATATTAACATTGAATTATTTAAAATACTGTTACCATTCATCATTCAAAATTCCATTTTTGAAATTCAATAACTTGTTTGAAACCTCAATAAAAACACTTGCAAAGTCTTTGATAGACCAGTTTTAATGCTATTCAAATACTGTAAGCAAGGTTTCTTGAATTGCTATTAAGCATTATTGTATAGCTTTTCATGCTGGAAATATTGCATCAAAATATGATTGTGCTACTTACAATTTCTATGAGTCATCTAAAAACCTAATATACTGTATATTATGCCCCAGTTGCGACAAATATTATATCGGAGAAACTGGCAAAACATTACAGGCACACGTACAAGTCCACAAACAGCACATCAAATCTCCAAAATACAGAAAATTAAAACTAAGTGAACATTTAGACATTTGCGAAAAGAAAACATTTAAAATATTTCCTTTCTCCAAATTCTATTAGGAGAATCCCATTGAAAGAAGAGAAAAGGAAATGTATTTTATTAGAACTTTTGAACTCAAAGTAAACAGTATTGTTTAAGAATCATATAAACTATGTAATGATCTCCCGTTCAATAATGATGTCGCATAATTACTCTGGTTATTACGCCACAGACATCATATCTAGGCAATTTATTAAGCATCATGAAGATTCTGGAATGAAAGCACTAATGCTTAATTTGTCGTGTTGTTTTAAGTTATTCTAATATATATGTTGGTTACTTTTATTTCAAAACAAACGAAAAATTTATAAAGTTTTTCACAATAAGGTTTTGTATAAAGATACATTTTTCTTGTTCGTGAAGATATTTTTTTCTGATTCATGTAGAAACAGCTTACTAAATAATGAATACTTAAATAATGTGACTCTTGGTAATTATCGAAGTCTTAATGAAATTTTATTATAATGAAAGTTGACAGATGTATATCAAAATGAAATACACATATTCTTGTATAATGAATAATATTTGATTTTATTTATATAGACATTGTATTTTACCCAGAATTCCTTCTTTATTCAGTGTGCCATGCAGAATTAAATGCTGTACTGAACAAAAACTCGACTGATGTCAAGGATTGTACTGTGTATGTGGCTCTCTTTCCATGTAATGAGTGTGCTAAAGTGCTTATTCAGTCCAGGATAAAGGAGGTGGTGTATTACTCTGACAAATATCATGAGAAAGTCGAGTTTGTGGCTTCTAGGAGGATGTTAGATATGGCTGGCATCAAACATAGGTACATAGTAATAAATTTACACGCAAGTTCTGATAATAGAGAATTTTGAAAGGACTAGTAGAATTTCTGAAATTACCTCAATCTACCATGCTGGGACCCAGTATTTTTAGCAATAGAGTTGAAAAGAGCTCATGAAAATACATTGTAGATAGATGACAGGGTAGGAGACAGTAGATAGATGACTGGGTAGGAGACTGTAGATAGTTGACTGAGTAGGAGACTGTAGGTAGATGACTGGGTAGGAGATTGTAGGTAGATGACTGGGTAGGAGACTGTAGATAGATGACTGGGTAGGAGAGTGTGGATAGATGACAGGGTAGGAGACTGTAGATAGATGACTGGGTAGGAGACTGTAAATAGATGACTGGGTAGGAGACTGTAGATAGATGACAGGGTAGGAGACTGTAGGTAGATGACTGGGTAGGTGACTGTAGTTAGATGACTGGGTAGGAGACTGTAGGTAGATGACTGGGTAGGAGACTGTAGGTAGATGACTGGGTAGGAGACTAGATAGATGACAGGGTAGGAGACTGTAGAAAGATGACCGGGTAGGAGACTGTAGATAGATGACAGGGTAGGAGACTGTAGATAGATGACAGGGTAGGAGACTGTAGGTAGATGACTGGGTAGGTGACTGTAGTTAGATGACTGGGTAGGAGACTGTAGGTAGATGACTGGGTAGGAGACTGTAGGTAGATGACTGGGTAGGAGACTAGATAGATGACTGGGTAGGAGACTGTAGATAGATGACAGAGTAGGAGACTGTAGATAGATGACAGGGTATGAGACTGTAGATAGATGACTGGGTAGGAGACTGTAGATAGATGACTGGGTAGGAGACTGTAGATAGATGACTGGGTAGGAGACTGTAGATAGATGACAGGGTATGAGACTGTAGATAGATGACTGGGTAGGAGACTGTAGATAGATGACAAGGTAGGAGACTGTAGGTAGATGACTGGGTAGATGACTGTAGGTTGGATGACTGGGTAGGAGACTAGATAGATGACAGGGTAGGAGACTAGATAGATGACTGGATAGGAGACTGTAGATAGATGACTGGGTAGGAGACTGTAGATAGATGACAGGGTAGGAGACTAGGTAGATGACAGGGTAGGTGACTGTAGATAGAAGACTGGGTAGGAGACTGTAGGTAGATGACTAGGTAGGAGACTGTAGATAGATGACAGGGAAGGAGACTGTAGATAGTGCAGACTTTTTCTAATGGTATATTCCGCACAAGTTAGGATTTCATACGATGTATTTTTAAAAACTCTACAAAATCATCTGCATATGTTCTTATGGAAATTGTACACCTCAATTTACCATTTAAACAAATATGTAATTAATTTGCAGAATTTCTGGATTTCCCCATGCGCTATTTTAGACAGTGTGGCTGTGATTATTAACATAAATAATGCCTGTCCAAACTGACCTCAGAAGAGATATTTTGATGTTAACAATAATTTTGAAGGTTTAAGAACAAGTTCTTAAAAGATTTAAAACAGCCAGAAATTAAGTAACTTAGGTTGAATATCCCTTTTTATTAATAACATATTTGGATATAACTTTAAATCAGTAATGTTTGGGTGCATGTGCATAGGGCTTGATGTGATATGGACTTTATTCAACATTTTTGATATATATTAAGGTTTTTTTAACACTGTCTATACTGTTTGTAAAGGAGCTTTATTGATGTGGAAACCAATGTAAAACATTATTTCACTCAATAGTAAGGCATATCATAAAAGAATCAACAAATTTGGAATGCTTCTAAATTCTAATACTATACATGACCAATGGCATCGAGTAGGCATTTTCTTGCTGGCCATTAGTGCCTGTATCCATGTGTTGGTAAAAATATGTTTTATGAACTTTATGTCAGAATCGTTTGTCAACATAAAGGATCAGAGGGCACATTCAACTACTTTTGAGGTGAAGGTAGGGGATGTACAATGTTTATTGGAACACAAAATCCCACTGTTTCATTTGCTACATGTCTTCATTCAGAATTCTACTTCTGAATCTGCATAAAGGATTTATATTATTGTTAGATATTTGTAATTTAAAAAAAAAAATTTAAAAACCCATTAATTTCCAGAAATTGAATTTTGATATGTTATTTAACAAAAGTAGGGAGTGTGCATTCAAGTAAGTTAAAGGCAAATTTGGTACAATTTCCAAAACATTTAAATCGCAAATGAGGAAAAAGAGATTTCAGAAAATTTATTTCTGATGTATTAGTCATTATTTTGTTGAGTTTTGTAAAATGTTCTTGAATGTGAAATATTCCTATATACAGTTGTATCAGCTTTGTCTCCCTATTGACTACAAAATAATTTTTTATGTTGGAGTATACTTAAATTTCTTAACATAAATCTTTTCAAAATGCATGCTGAGTTTTATAATAATTGTTTTGTTTCTCTTATATTTTCAGACAATATAGACCAAAGCATAGTCAGATTGTTATAGACTTTTCATCAATAGATATAATGAACAACGGAGTGGACACATCCATTAAAGAACCCAAGGTTGTCAAAGATGAACAGGTGATATCTAACGGAAATGCTTAGTGAAGGCTGCTGTGAAATCAACATAGAGGACAAATGGTGATAATTATATATGATATCAGTGAACACTGCTGTTGTTCCATCTGAGGATGTGCTACTGTTATACAGGTTGTAAAGAATCGTTACTGTAACTACACAAAAACAGAACTACTATGAATATTACCTCATTATCCTTTACTGAAAACTCCCAACCTTGAAGGGTATAAGAGTATTTTCTGAACAGCTTTTTTAAAAGTATTTACATGTATATGAAAATACAGTGTATACTCAAATACATCATGTAGTTTATATTGACTATTAGATATAAAAAGTGCTGAAAACTTGTCTTCTTGTTGAGCAAGTATCTATATACATGCAGTCATATTTCATCATAGAATAGCAGGCTGTGAAGGTTGATCTGTGAAAAGTTGGAATATATTTCAAACTTAAAAAAGCTGATTTACCTAGTAAAAAAATATCTGTTTAGGCTATTTGTTTTACATTTCCCATGAAGTTGTGGAAACATTTTGGAATATTTTCAAATTGTGACCAAATAAAACATTTTTACCTGATTTCTGAGATAATTTGATGCTTTGAATCAGAGGGTCCATGTCTCATTGTGTTGTAAAATGTGGATATCAGATTTCTAAATTTTAGCTAAATCTTTGGGAAACCTGTTGGTTGGAAAACATAATTTTTTGGAATTGCTCTATAAACCCTTTTTTGCATGGAATGAGAAACTTTTCTGTTATACCATGCTGATGTCACCTGACCAGGAAGTGGTGCAATATCTGCTCACAGCCTATAAAGTGAAGTGTGACAGAGTTTGTAATTGTCATAAAGATTATAAACCTATACAATTCTGCTGTAAAGTTACAACATGTTCATATATTTAGATGGTATTCTACGTTTATTTAAACATTGCTTTAATTGATGAAAAAATAAAGAAATATCTGTTGATCCTAGCATTTTTACGATTTAAGCTCAGACTTGGCCAATATTGGTATAATCTGATGAGATCAAGTAATCCTGGCATTTCTCATGATTTAAGCTCAGACTTGGCCAATATTGGTGTGATCTGATGAGATCAAGTAATCCTGGCATTTCTCATGATTTAAGCTCAGACTTGGCCAATATTGGTATAATCTGATGAAATCGGGTGATGTTTATTTGATTTTTGTAAACATTCCGTGTTTGTTGTGCCTAAAGGGACCTTGGACCTTTTTGTTGGTAGCATTATATCTCCAGGTTTCCAGACCCCCGTTCATTTGTCAAATAAAATATTGTGTTGAAAATCAGACAGTTGTTTTGAATATCCGTTTCCTTTCCATTATCAATTCTTTTCAAATATAGAAATTGCCCTGTTCTCAGAAACACTATGATCAACAGAAAAAAGTTACAACAATAGGCAAGTGTAGTTTCTGATGATGATGGGCTATTCCAATCGCCCTGTGTCTATGACCTTTCTTTTGATTTGTCTCCAACAATTCTCATTATTACTCTTTTTTGAAAAGTGCTGAATGAATCTTTTTCACATCTCATATCTATCTACAGTCTCCTACCACTTAGTCCGTAGTTGTGCCTGGTTAATTTTTGGAGTGATCAGAAAAACAAAATGGCTGACAGGTGTAACCTTGGATTTTGACAATGGAAGTTTGTTATCACTATTTCTTGGGTATAACTGGATGAATCATTCTCAACTTTTACATACTGATCCATTTGGTCATTAGTTGTGCCCATCTGATTTCATGTACGGGTTCCCCTTCATTCATAGTTGTGCCCATTTGATTTTAGAAATGAGCAGAAAAACAATGGCAGACAAGTGGCCATTTTGGAATTTGATAATAAAAGCTTGTTTTTGCTATTTCTTAAGTGATGGATGGATCTTCCTCAAATCTCAGATCCACCTTTATTTTTAGTTTTACCTGTTTGATTTTAGATCTTAGCAGAAAAAAACTAAATGGCAGACTGTAATAGGCTCTAATAACACCCAAAACCTACAGAGTGTTTTAGCTCTAATTACACCGATAACCTACAGAGTGTCTTATCTCTCAGAACTCATAACCTTAAGAATATCACCGTAACATACAGAGTGTCTTAGCTCTAATAACACCCATAACTTACAGAGTGTCTAAGCTCTAATAACACCCAAAACCTACAGTGTGTCTTAGCTCTAATAACACCCGTAACCTACAGAGTGTCTTAGCTCTAATAACACCCAAAACCTACAGAGTGTCTTAGCTCTGATAACTCTCAAAACCTACATAGTGTTTTAGCTCTAATTATACCGATAACCTACAGAGTGTCTTAGCTCTAAGAACACTCATAACCTTGAAAATATCACCGTAACCTACAGAGTGTCTTAGTTCTAATAACACCCATAACCTACAGAGTGTCTTAGCTCTAATAACACCCGTAACCTACAGAGTGTCTTAGCTCTAATAACACCCATAACCTTCAGAGTGTCTTAGCTCTTATAACACCCATAACCTACAGAATGTCTTAGCTCTAAATACACCCATAACCTAGAAAATATCACCACAACTATAGAGTGTCTTAGCTCTAACACCCAAAACCTATAGAGTGTCTTAGCTCTATTAACATCTATAACCTACAGAGTGTCTTAGCTCTAATAACACCCATAACCTACAGAGTGTCTTAGCTCTAATAACACCCATAACCTACAGAGTGTCTTAGCTCTAATAACACCAATTACTGACAGAGTATCTGAGCTCTAAGAGCACTCATAACCTTGAAAATATCACCGTAACCTACAGAGTGTCTTAGCTCTAATAACACCAATTACTGACAGAGTGACTTAGCTCTAATAACACCCATAACCGACAGAGTGTCTTAGTTATAATAACACCCATAACCTACAGTGAGTCTTAGCTCTTATAACACCCATAACCTACAGAATGTCACCGTAACCTTCAGAATGTCACTGGTACCTGTTAAAAAATTACTTATGCTGGTATAAAATTCCCCTTAATGTTATATATGATATTTCATCCAAAATATTAATGATGTCATGTATAATCTATATAAGCCAAAAAATAGATATTTTGAGAATTTTTTTTTTTCTAAAAGTGCGAATTATTTTAGCTTCCATTAAAAAATATCCGTATCATAAAATCAGTGAATACTGTAAATGTACATATCTTAATGGTAGCTTTTTCTCATCGGTTTTCGCACTGAACATGTTTGCTCTAAAACTGCGCCAATTGCAGTTACTGTATGTTTATATCACAATCATTATGGATGCACTAATTTATCATTTCATTAATTTGCCGAAATGCGCTTAAAGATTGCGCAAAATTGATAACGTTTATATACCTTTAATGAGATTATGACATAGAAATGTACATCTGTTAATATCTATTCTCCAGGAAATATCAACAAAACGGAACAATCTCTGATGATAGGAAATTTCAAATGCAAGCTTTGACCAAGACATTAACCCAAGGTGCCTTTGGAGTTTTAATCCTTTATTTTATATTTGCTTTCTATATATATCATATTTTTAATAAAATGTTTTTCTTTGACGGATTTTTTTTTTATTATTGTTAAAAGATATTAAACTTGGGGGCCGAGTGGTTAAGGTGTCTGACTGTCTTTATCACTAGCCTTCCACCCTCCCCCTCCCCTCTTTATCACTATATATATTTTATAAACTACACAATAATTACATTAATTGTAGAGAGAAAAAAAATTGTGTGAATCAAAAATATCCTCTGATTTCTGACATGTGATTGCCATAGTTACCAACTCAAAAAATGCAAAATTACTGCTAATTCCAACCTACCATTAAAACGTTACAGAAGAAATATATTTCTGAACACCTGTCTCAAAATCAACAACACTGTCATGGTAACAAACTACTTATATTTCAGCAAATTCCAACTCGGAAATCCTTCACAACATGATCACGTGTAAACACTGAAAATTTCACTTCCTGTAAAGCTAGGTTTTGGTGCGTATACACAGATGCGAGACTGCCCAAACAATAATTTTCAAAACAAAGCTAAAATATAATTCTGAAATATACAAAACCCCACATTATCCACTTCAACATCACAAGACCAGTTTTAACAAGGATTTCCTTTTTTTAAATTTAAGTAGCATCAGCGGTCTGTTTTCATCCCAAATTGCGAAGGCCTGTTATGGAATCAAAGTTATTTGTGTCAATTTTTGAGTCGTTTTCCTTGTTTACCTGGTAATTGTAGGAAGATACTCTATATTGTTTTAACTCTTCAGTAAACGACCCTTGGCTTACAGCCTGATTTCCATTTTTCCGTGGTTGTGTCCCCTTGATCAGGATATAGTACCCGTTACAGCACCACGTCACCTAGCGGTTTGGGCGTGTGCTGTCACAAGGGACATCTTGAAAATCTGTTTAAAACGGAACATTGATAAAGACACAATTACACCATCTCATTTTTGATGCTTTAAGATCGCTTGATCAAGTTCAGGAATTGTTACTCAGTTAAAGAAAATCCAGTGTCAATATGAATTTAACATACAAGGTTAAAAGGTTAAGGTTTGTAGTGAAAGGATCAGGCCTGGTTACACAATGTCTGTCATAGGTTTTTTACAATTAAGGTCTTTAGTATCACTGTAAAATGCAGCTTCAATATTTGGCTACAATGTATTTTATTCTCTATACGCACTTAACGGTGTTATTCACTTTGGAGTTCCTTGTACATTCTCAGTTATGTAATTCAGTATTTTTAATTGTCACCGAGATTGTCTTTTTATTTCGGCCTGCCACGTGGAAATAAATGCCATTTGAAATAGGATGTCTGTTGACATCCGTGGTTGTACCACGTACACAACTCTATATTCGGGTGAAAATTTGTTGCATTCACATAAACCTTTATAATAATCATCCATTCATGTATAATGAAATAATGGTGAAAAGAACTCTGGTCAAACAAATCCCGCTGTATACAGTATTACAAAACGATTGTTAAACAACCCATGACGTGTTCATAATTAATTACAAGAGATCCCAGAGGGATCTTGGCGCCCACCATTTGAGGATCTGTTTTCAGTTCTTGAAGATTTGTTTATTTTTTTTTTTTTTTTTTTGTTACAGGTGTTGTAAATGTTCATGAACTGGTCTTCATTGAATGTACTCAATGATGGCACAAGATATTTTTATTAAGCACCTATTAGCAAACATCATTTGAAAAAGATCCCAAAGTATCATTAGATAGCAGTCAGTTACAGGTGGATAATGGACAATATATTTGTGCTGTATTACTGTCGACATCCAAGATGGCTGCCTGTGGGCCACCTTCATTTCAAATCAGTCCAAAAAAGGTACAATGCACAACTAGGGACCAAGGGAAACCAATATCTATGAAATATCAGAAGGATCCATCCAGGACTTCCTCAGATATAGCAGTAACAAGATTTTACTCTCAAAATCCAAGATGGCTGCCTGTCAGCTACCTTGATTTCGGATCATTCCAAAAAGGTACAATGCACAACTAGGGACAAAGGGGAAACTGCATATGAAATTTGAGAAAGATCCATCCAGTACTTTCCAAGAAATAGCAGTAACAAACTTTTACTTCCAAAATCCAAGATGGCTGCCTGTCGGCCATCTTGAATTCGAATCAGTCCAAAAAAGGTACAATGCACAACTAGGGACCAAGGGGAACCTGCATGTGTAATTTGAGAAAGATCCATCCAGTACTTTCCAAGAAATAGCGGTAACAAACTTTTACATCCAAAATCCAAGATGGCCACCTGTCGGCCATCTTGAATTCGAATCAGTCCAAAAAAGGTACAATGCACAACTAGGGACCAAGGGGAAACTGCATATGAAATTCGAGAAAGATCCATCCAGTACTTTTCCAGAAATAGCGGTAACAAGAATTGTTTACGGACGGACGGACGGACCACGGACGCAGGGCGATTTGAATAACCCACCATCTATTAGATGGTGGGCTAAAAATGTGCCTTTTCACTCGTTAACTTTTACCAATACAAGGTATTTATTGATTGTACACTGAACAGCGTACATCATGTTTATCCGCCTAACCAATATATAATCAAAGTACTGAAAGTACTGAGAGGCTAAACGTTTTGAACAATATTCACAAATAACCGCTAAGCTATATTACTTTCCCCATACTCCTACACTTTAGAATCCAAAAATTACTAAAATAAGAGAACCAGAGGCTATTTTTCTTAATTTTAAGCGATTTTATATCTTCTTAAATTCTTATTTCAAATTTGACGACAATAATGTGAACAAATCAAAATAGGTAAAAAAATAAAATTACAAAATAAACACAACCATATATTCATCGCCAACAAGCCAAATGATAAATAGCTCTATGATGAAGTTGACTAAATAAAACCTTTGAAATCCCCAAGATCTTGCAATTACTATCCTATCAATATGAGGATTTAGACAAATCGAAAGGACTTTATACCTACTTCTCTATTTTAAATGTATTGCAAAGAAATAGTCCTTACTTATTATAATTAAATTTGTAGTTGAGGAAAGTAGATAAGGTGTACACAGCATTTCAGATAGATAAAAGTGTAAATAATTACATTAAATGTATTTACATGCCTATCTTCCTTGAAGTATCATGATTAGATTTTTATTCCAGTAATTATATCTATAAAGACATAGTTCTATGAGATTAAACTAGACTTCCATATATATACAAAATTTACAATATCTTCACCATAGCTACTACTATTTCTGATCTTCAATGCATTAGATAATGTCACCATGACACGCAAAATGAATAAATATGTTAAGGAAATATTTCGTTCTAGTTAATTAAAAATTATAAACATGAATATTTTGGTTTTTTATACGCGTTTTGTTTGAAGGAATATTTTCATTTCAAGGAACTTTGATACACATTAACAAACCTAGAGAAATCAGCACAATCAACCTTCATCAAATAAAACTAAAAGACAAAATATAGTTATAACAAAGTCAACATCATGATCAGTACAGTATTAAAAACATATTATTCATAAATCATGAGCACCAATTGTACCTTGCCTACGAAGCGCAAACTTTTTATCTACAAAAACTTGAAAAAGTGTCATGGCGGTGGGTGTGCAAAACCTGAAAAAGTGTCATATCGGCGGATATGTGCGTGGGATGAACAGTCCAATTTTGTGATGTCTAATGAGGTAAAATGATGTTATATGTTCTGCCTCGTGTCAAAAACTCTAGGAGGAGTTGATTAAAGAATATAACTTAATGTCTTAATGTAGTGTAAAAATAATCTGTCCTCCAACTGGAAATTAACGGGAAAAGGTATTTTCTACTTATGACAAGTATCATCATCACCGATGAATCTGTAAACATGCATTTATGACCAAATTAGGGAGAGACTTAATTTCAAAAAAAGACCTTGAACTTCAACATGTGCTACATTGTGCTTGTCTAAGGTAGGTATAGGTAGGTCTATATATATACATGTGGAATTAAAATGTTGAATCATTGGTTGATTAAACAATCACAAAAATGAATAGTGACTATGGTAGGTTCAAGTTGAACACGTTCAGAGACAGATGATGTCTTAAGCCAACACCAGGTGGTCCAAACAATAGATCCTAGAGAGATATTTCCAACATAATTGTGTGATTTTTCTTTTCTTTGAAATTTGTTCCAAAATCCAATACACACATTTTGGAGTCAATGTGCTCACATTTAAGGACAAAGGAAAACATACATATCACCGAGTAATTCTAAATTAAAGGAGAGAAAAGAAATTTTAACCGTTAATGTCCAAGCCTGTTCGCCAAAAAAGTACATTCCATATCAAACTGATGTTTTAATCAGGCTCCAAATACATATGTACAACCAGGGACACACATTTGGAATGTAAGACCTTCAATCAACACAGAACTTTTCAAGAAGTTGCAACAAGTTAATACTGTTAAAATTCATGTTTACATATTTATTATGTCATCATTCTACTGTTTGTAAAAATGCATTCACAAATCAGTGAACCTACAAGCAATCAACAGTGACAGTTCTACATTTTTATGACAAGATGACAAAATGAAATATCTTTAATATGCTATCAGGTTAAAACATGACAATTTCTGGAGAAAAAAAAAATCAAGTCATGATATAATTGCCATTTAGTATTTATTTTCAATTTGAATTCAACAACTTAATTTATATCAATAACTACAAATACGTTTGACATAATCAGCTCATGGAGTTTGCATAACTCAACACTGCAAGAGGAACATTCATAGTCTTGTATTAATCCTTGTGTGAAACAAAATTAATGCAGAAGGACACATTGGTAACATATCTGCCTTTCACCTAGGCGACCCGGATTTGATCCTATGGATTCAATTCCAGATCAGATGTGGGACAGTTTGGGGACACCTACAACAAGAATTTATCTCAGATATTCTCATTTCCTCCTACAGCAGTAACACCCGTGCCAACCACAGAGATGAACATAACCTGTTATTGCTCATCTTACAAAAGGTTACGGTAACAGAGGTCATTATTTACTTAAATGCCTCCGCTAGGAATAAAACCCAGGACCCCTGGCGCTCAACCAATCAAGCTAAAGAGTTCTCTCTAGCCAAGTGGTATATTGCGGCTAGTGTTTTGCGAGGGTTACATTACTAAGAAAAATAAAGTTTGTAAATTTTAGAATTTTGTTCAGTCGTTTTTCTAAATAAAACATTAATTGAACATTCTAAAAGTTTATTTTTGATAGAATTCAGTATCAAGTTAATGAATACTCCATCACAAAAAGTAAGGAAATGATTAGCACCTAGGATTTATGTTTTACCCATTTCTTTTATTTTCTAAAATTTTTCAACAATAAATAAAAAAAAGTTTAAAATGTTTCCCATTGATTATCTGACAACGAAGTAGGAAATCAACATCACTTTTAAGGTAAAAAATGTTCTATCTAATAACTATGCGTGTATGCTATGATTTGATTCAATTTTGACATAAAAACACTGTTTTTTCCCGACACTCATAAACAATTGGAATGAAATTTCACTCCTGCTGAAAGTTGCTACTTTTGCATTGAGAAATCAGCAGTCTGACTTGAGTCAAGATATATTTTTTCTTTATGAATACAATACAGAATAAATTTATCAACATTTTTTAGTAAAGAAACAAAAACTTTATGGGCACTTAATTTTGTATTGAACAATAATCTAGAAATTTACTTTCATTTAATATGCATGTCAATTTGTAATTGTCTATCATTTTGTGGACACATAAATTTATTAAGTGTACTCACAAAAACAAGGAAGATATGAAACCCCTAAAGGATTTGTAATCCAACAGAATGTTTTTAACAACATTGTAAATAAATAACACTGGATTGCCAAACAATAGCTGCCTCTCGAATTATTTCCAATGTTGGTATCATGGTTAGTTTTAATCTTTGGAAATTCTGTAAGACCTATCCACGTCTACCTCTGCTGTTAACTATAAACTTCACAGACTCAAAAGTGCCTAGGTCTTACTAAATTGTCACATGTCTGGAGTGACTAAAACTAAAAAAAAAACCTTGGTTTTCGATCCGACTAAAAAGGTAGCTATTCTTTTCAAATAAATACTGAAAAAATAAAGAAGAAATTTAATCTTTAAATATGAACACATTGGGCATGAGACTCCTCTTGATATTGCTTCAATCCTGTTTTTTAAACATCAGATTGGACTATTTGAAAGCATTGTTTAATAACCTATGTTTTTCTAGTATACTATTTGTGGAATTTAGACTGCTCTGTAATGCCTGGAGAGGGGAGACTTTCTTTGTATCTGGTGGCAACTCTGGTGGTGACAATGGCATTGACTGTGGCAACACTGGTGGTGATACTGGTATGGCCTGTGGCCACACTGGTGGTGACAATGGTGTGGACTGTGGCAACTCTGGTGGTGACAATGGTGTGGATTGTGGCAACACTAGTGGTGATACTGGTGTGGCTTGTGACAACACTGGTGGTGATACTGGTGTGGCTTGTGACAACACTGGTGGTGATACTGGTGTGGCCTGTGGCAACACTGGTGGTGATACTGGTGTGGCCTGTGGCAACACTGGTGGTGACACTGGTGTTTCTTGTCTATGATAACTATTATACTCAGTGTTGTTAGATGTCAGAGTTGATCTAGTCAGTGACTTGGGTGACAAAGTCAATTCTTGTAAAGACTGCGCTGGAGACCACTTGTTCAGTCTGTTTTCTTTCTCAGAATGGTAACTTTTTTCAGTTGGGTTCTCTCTGAAGTCAGGTGGTCCTGCATAGTAAGACCGTGATCTTATTTCCGAATTTTTACCCTTTTTTCTACGGTCTATTTTGTTTTTCTGCAAAATACCTGCAGGACGCAAGGAAATGCCTTCAAGTGAATCTGAATCTGACATGTCACCATTTTTACTAGCTAAAGAACGGATAAGCGTACCAGTTGATGGCTGGTTCATGCCACTACAGATATTTGATGTGGGACTGTCAGTTGTATTTTCTAAAACTTTCGATGGTTCAAAGTCTGATTGGTTGTATGTATTTGAAGAGCTGTGTCTATGTGGTACAATTGGATCTCGTACTTTTTTCCCAGATTCTTCTGAAGGTTTTTGCTTTTCATCAAATTTCCTCCTATCCTCCTCAGATGTACCTATCTTATCCTCAAGGGCACCTGTTAGTCTCAGATGTTCAAACTTGCCCATGTACATAGTTCCTGAAACAATTAATCTTAAATTACTTTCAATTTTTTTCCATTTTAAACCTAACAGCCAATGTGATATGACATTGATGAAGGTGGAGATTGGCTTAAAAAAGCAAGACTGGTGACTGATTAAATGGAGCCGTGGTTCACTTCACCGTTATGGTATTCTGACCCCGTTTTTTTCCCCATGCCTCACAATACTATACTACACCGGTAGCAGATTTCTATTTGTCTAATCATCCCTGATTTCACTAAAACAACCTATCAATCATATCTGTTAGATTGTATTTCTTTCTTTTTCTTCCTTTACTCTTCAAAGATGATTTCGTCAACTAATAACAGTTGGTAATCAGAATCTAAATAAAATTAGCTATCACTTGCCTGTTTTTGTGTTATGTTTATCATGTTTTTTGATATTCTAGTAATGGTTCTGTAAAACAAAATAACAAGCAGAACAAATGAGATTTCATCCAGAAATTGATCACTGGAATCGTTTTATCAATCACCTGATCAGATCATCATTTGTATTTGATTACTTTTCCATCTTCAACTGTGTTTGCACAAAAAGCCATTGTATTCCAAACATCTCACCAAATAAGTGAAAAATGGATATATTTGCACTACAAAAAAAAATTCAAAATAACCAAAAGCTATTAATCAAGATCTTGATTCATCTCAACAAACTCTGTTTTCCAAACTGTGCAATGTGCCAAAAACTAGAAAACAATGATCCACCTGAGAGAAAATAAACACCAGTAAACCAAGATGTTATTTTGTTTGACACTTGATTGTTTAAGTTTGTATAAAATTACATGCTACTGAAAAACTGGTTTAACGTGAACAAATGGCTACAACTCTGTATATGAGCAAATCTGACTTCAGTTTGTGACACTACATTTCTGAAGGAATCTACATTTAAATTCTGGAAATTACAAGCCAAAAATATGTCATAGGAAAAGAAACTGCATGGAAAAGAAAGGAGGGGAGACATGTCTTTCTAGTGTAAGAACATAAAACCAGACCAACCCAACAAGTACTTGCCATATATACACATACTTTAAAATCATATATTTTCGTTGGGCAAAACTTTTGCAGTTTTTCAAAAAATATTTCATGGACAGACAATTTCCTGAATAAACATAGCTCAATTAATCTATTCATGTTTATTTTAACAATATGTAAACAGTTGATTTCTTGGATATATATATAGATCAATAAATCCATATTTATTTTAACAATTTGTGGACACAGGAACTCCTGGATATATATATATAGATCAATAAATCTATACTTATTTTAACAATTTTACAGTAATCAAGATTTCTAAAAGTATCAGATGGACAAACAGAGTACAGTTGACCCTAACAGTGCTAAGTCGAGACTGTCGGTTAACTCACCCTTGAATCTAAATCTGTTTGGGTTGTCCTTCGTTGTCATACGCCAAATTGAATCACGACTGTCAATGACATCAGGGTCAGCCAAACCTTGACTGTTCTCGTTAAAACCATTGGTATCCTGAGAACATGTTTTCCGGTAACTTTCATAATTGTGAGACATAAGGCGATCAAGATCTCTGAAGGCTGAGGGCAGAAGATGAATGGACGACTGGAAGAAGAAAATACTGCATTAGCAGGGAAAAATAAAATGAATTCTTTTCTGTAAAAAATGACAAAGTGAAGAAAATAAGAATTCACTTGTGAATAATGATTTTTCACTTCTGATACATACAGAATCTTGCTGCCTTAAAACAATAGAGCTTCAATGACTAAGTTTTCATATCAGGTAGAGTTGCCAAGTTCAGATTTTTTTTAGGCAAGTAATCGGTTCAGAACTACTACACCAAAATCATTTGGGCATGAAAGAGAATTTTGCTGTAGTTAAGTTCTGTTTTTTTTTCTTAATTTTACTGTTAATATCTCTTTCCTGAATCTGATGTTACAGGAGCTATTTACATCTAATCAGCATTTACAGTGAAAGCCTTTGTGGACATATAATATGATGTTTCTTTGGCAGTGAAACCTTAACATGAATAGCACCTAGGGAGGAACAAAACAAGACTTTAACAGTAAATGATCTTACTGTCAGAGTGACAAAGTAGACAAGGCTGTTGGTCACTATTGTCTATAGTTAACATTAAATGATCTTACTGTCAGAGTGACTAAGTAGACAAGGCTGTTGGTCACTATTGTCCATAGTTAACATTAAATGATCTTACTGTCAGAGTGACTAAGTAGACAAGGCTGTTGGTCACTATTGTCTATAGTTAACATTAAATGATCTTACTGTCAGAGTGACTAAGTAGACAAGGCTAATGGTCACTATTGTCCATAGTTAACAGTAAATGATCTTACTGTCAGAGTGACAAGTATGACTAAGTAGACAAGGCTGTTGGTCACTATTGTCTATAGTTAACAGTAAATGATCTCACTGTCAGAGTGACAAGTATGAATAAGTAGACAAGACTGTTGGTCACTATTGTCCATAGTTAACAGTAAATGATCTTACTGTCAGAGTGACAAGTATGACTAAGTAGACAAGGCTAATGGTCACTATTGTCCATAGTTAACAGTAAATGATCTTACTGTCAGAGTGACAAGTATGACTAAGTAGACAAGGCTGTTGGTCACTATTGTCCATAGTTAACAGTAAATGATCTCACTGTCAGAGTGACAAGTATGACTAAGTAGACAAGGCTGTTGGTCACTATTGTCCATAGTTAACAGTAAATGATCTTACTGTCAGAGTGACAAGTATGACTAAGTAGACAAGGCTGTTGGTCACTATTGTCTATAGTTAACAGTAAATGATCTCACTGTCAGAGTGACAAGTATGACTAAGTAGACAAGGCTGTTGGTCACTATTGTCCATAGTTAACATTAAATGATCTCACTGTCAGAGTGACAAGTATGACTAAGTAGACAAGACTGTTGGTCACTATTGTCTATAGTTAACAGTAAATGATCTTACTGTCAGAGTGACAAGTATGACTAAGTAGACAAGGCTGTTGGTCACTATTGTCCATAGTTAACAGTAAATGATCTCACTGTCAGAGTGACAAGTATGACTAAGTAGACAAGACTGATGGTCACTATTGTCTATAGTTAACATTAAATGATCTTACTGTCAGAGTGACAAGTATGACTAAGTAGACAAGGCTGTTGGTCACTATTGTCCATAGTTAACATTAAATGATCTTACTGTCAGAGTGACAAGTATGACTAAGTAGACAAGGCTGTTGGTCACTATTGTCCATAGTTAACATTAAATGATCTTACTGTCAGAGTGACAAGTATGACTAAGTAGACAAGGCTGTTGGTCACTATTGTCCATAGTTAACATTAAATGATCTCACTGTCAGAGTGACAAGTATGAATAAGTAGACAAGACTGTTGGTCACTATTGTCTATAGTTAACAGTAAATGATCTTACTGTCAGAGTGACAAGTATGACTAAGTAGACAAGGCTGTTGGTCACTATTGTCCATAGTTAACATTAAATGATCTCACTGTCAGAGTGACAAGTATGAATAAGTAGACAAGACTGTTGGTCACTATTGTCTATAGTTAACATTAAATGATCTTACTGTCAGAGTGACAAGTATGACTAAGTAGACAAGACTGTGGTCACTATTGTCTACAGTTAACAGTAAATGATCTTACTGTCAGAGTGACAAGTATGAATAAGTAGACAAGACTGATGGTCACTATTGTCTATAGTTAACATTAAATGATCTCACTGTCAGAGTGACAAGTATGACTAAGTAGACAAGGCTGTTGGTCACTATTGTCCATAATTTCAGTCCCTAATTCGATAATAGTACTATTTGAAATTTTTAATAACATGTCTTAATTGAGAAGTAGTTTGACAAAGAATTGTTTTTTATTGTGAAGAAATAATTCTATACCCGAAATAATGTTTCATTCCCTTTAACTAGCAGTCAAATAAAACTCGTGTACTTCAGAAATAATTCTCCACTCTAAATGATGTTTCATTCCCTTTCACTAGCAGTCAAATAAACCTCGTGTACTTCAGAAATAATTCTCCACTCTAAATGATGTTTCATTCCCTTTCACTAGCAGTCAAATAAAACTCGTGTACTTCAGAAATAATTCTCCACTCTAAATGATGTTTCATTCCCTTTCACTAGCAGTCAAATAAACCTCGTGTACTTCAGAAATAATTCTCCACTCTAAATGATGTTTCATTCCCTTTCACTAGCAGTCAAATAAACCTCGTGTACTTCAGAAATAATTCTCCACTCTAAATGATGTTTCATTCCCTTTCACTAGCAGTCAAATAAACCTCGTGTACTTCAGAAATAATTCTCCACTCTAAATGATGTTTCATTCCCTTTCACTAGCAGTCAAATAAACCTTGTGTACTTCAGAAATAATTCTCCACTCTAAATGATGTTTCATTCCCTTTCACTAGCAGTCAAATAAACCTCGTGTACTTCAGAAATAATTCTCCACTCTAAATGATGTTTCATTCCCTTTCACTAGCAGTCAAATAAACCTCGTGTACTTCAGAAATAATTCTCCACTCTAAATGATGTTTCATTCCCTTTCACTAGCAGTCAAATAAACCTCGTGTACTTCAGAAATAATTCTCCACTCTAAATGATGTTTCATTCCCTTTCACTAGCAGTCAAATAAACCTCGTGTACTTCAGAAATAATTCTCCACTCTAAATGATGTTTCATTCCCTTTCACTAGCAGTCAAATAAACCTTGTGTACTTCAGAAATAATTCTCCACTCTAAATGATGTTTCATTCCCTTTCACTAGCAGTCAAATAAACCTCGTATACTTCAGAAATGATTCTCCACTCTCAGTGATGTTTTTGACTGAATTTAAGAAATAATTGCCTATCCTAACTGATGAATCAGGCAAAAGCTTCTTGAAATCCACCCAGTCAGAAAGGAGTTTAAATCTAATTTCAGTTCCTCCCCTTTTTTGGCCCTGTCTCTCGACCCTTAGGGGTCAAATAAAAATTCTGAATTTAAGAACTGATAACCGTCACCCAATAATGCATCAGACCAATTTAGTTGAAATCTATCCAGGCATTAAAGAGGAGTAAGGTTTTAAAGAAAAAGTTTACAAACAATGACAAACAGAGCAGAATGACTCTATATCATCTTGACCCATCAGTTCAGATGATCCAATGAAATCTACATATTTCAGAATAGCAACAAAATACATATTATAAGGTTGTAAATATCTAAAAAATAACCATGCTGAACCAATTACAGGTACAGACCTGGTGTTTCTTTGCTTCATCATTATTGGCATCTCTAGTGTATGACAGATAGACATCAACACCAGCAACAAACTCAGCCATCATTTTCTCCATCAGGACAAGTCGCAAGTCAAGAAGGTGCATTACATTTTTACATGCTGCCTCCAGTAGAGGGCGCCCTGCTGGCCTCTCCATCCATACCTCCTGGTCCTCCTGATGGTAAATAAAATTTGATCAAAACTCATTTACAAAACATGTTAAAATAGTTTTTTCCTACTGTTGGCATGTGGTTACTTTTCCAAAACACTTCAAGTCAAAGTTTGAATTTTCAGATTAATATTTTAAAATCAAAACACTGGCTGTTTTTTAACAACGAAACGCAAATGATATCAATTCCTTTGTTCCTTCCAATTAATAGTTCTGTACAGTAATAAGAGCTAACAAAAAATTCTATAAAAAGCAATAATGACCTGTGCAATAACACCATAACATCTACCTTTTTGTGAGCAGCACGGACTTTCATGAGCTGTATCTGTTCCTGTGGAAGATCAAGATTGTCAAACAGTGAAGCCTGCAGACTCTGCACATAACGTGGCCAATTTCCATGTCCTCTAAACATACGGTAAACAAAAGTATCTGCCACCTAAAAATGTAAACAAACAAAACAACATTGTTGACATTCAACTTGTACAGGACATAAACCATAGAACAGGAATTCATCTCTGTCTTTTTCTGAAGGTTTTATTTTAGTTAAATCTGTCTTTTAGTGGACATCAGCTTAAGTTCTTCTGATCAATTGTGTTTTTGTGATTTATTTTCAGAACCAGATCATTTTAAGTCTATTACACTGTCATTTAAAAACAGCCTGAGTAATGTAAGCTTTGATTTTTTAATGATAAAAGGAAATATAGATCATGATGTAAAATATGATCTGTATTTTACAATAATTTTTAATGACCATAGAAGTAATGATATACATTATGTCACATATTTTACAATAATAAGAATGCAATCAACATTTGATGTTCCCACCTTGTGTTGGTTATCTGATGTCTGTGGAATAATTCACCAGATATCTTACATACAGGCATTTTACTTTATATTTTGTGACCAAGACTGTCACCTTTTCATCTTAACCACTAAGTAACATTTTCAAAGTCATGACAATAAAGTTGGTAAAGTGGTGACTTATGTAACATCAGGTAAAGTTTGTGGCTAGTAGGAAGCTGAGAAATGAACATGTCGCTACAGATATAGTCGTTTGTTCTTGGGCAAGACACTTTACTTTGGTTAATGCAGATGGTATGTGAACAGTCCTCCTGTATGTTGTTCAGGGAGGTAGCAACCAGCTACTATAAGACCTTGTCTAAAAATAATTCTGTTTGTTCAAGGGGAGATAAACCCAGCAAACAACAAACCAAGAAAATTAAATCAGGTGTAAAATTTGATATTATCATAAATCATAGTGTAATTATTATCCACTTCTCATACTATATATCCCTTGCAAAGAAATCGGTGGTCATCATCTTATGACTGCCACCAGAAAGCATGGGGAAGTTATATTCCATTATAAATGACAGAAAAATACTTCAGAAGTCCAATACATTGTAACATGAACAATTAGTAAATACAATCATTAAACTGCTTTCAGTTGGTATTCATGGACAAATCCATCATCATGAACCACTAATATTGTTCATGGAATAAGTCTTTCTTCAGTTGACATTCATAAGTCTATAAACACCAACTGAAAGCAGATCAAATCTCGTTATGTTTGGCCATTTATAAGATAAATTTCATATAAGATTTTGTACAGTTGCAGATATGCATACATAAACCAGTCAAAATAGAAATCCATGAAAAAAAGACGGAAAAGGTGAAATAACTCATGATATTACACATCGTTACATACCTGGGTATCAAACATGTTACAGAGGTTAACTCCAAATTGGTGGTGGAGGAGGTCAGATGCAAGTCGACAGTCATGCATTACCTGTAACATTAGTAAAATTGATACGATAACAAATTTTTTTAACTTATATCTTAAATTGTTTTTCTTACAGTTTCTGGTGAACATTTCAATTCATGAAACTTAAAGACAACCTCATCATTAATGTTTCCTTACTATGTTCCTTAGAAAGTATGTCGGACATTTTACCTTTATTGAACAATATGGAAACTGGCTTATTATCTTTAGAAATGACATTTGATACAGGTAACCAATAGTCAGGGGAGATAACTCTAGCATAGGAAAAGCAATAGTAAATGAAAATAACTTTAATCTTCATCCTTGCACTGGATTTGAAGTTGGGAGTCACTTGTTTATAATCTTCACAGGAGTGTATCAGTCTGTGATAAGTCAGTTTTTTTCTCCTGAAACCTACTCTAGACCAATCAAATCAATTGGCATTTGCCTTAACTTTGCTAAAAAATTATTACAACTCTCCTAACAACCATTAATGTTCTATCGAAGGCTTCCCCCACAACATTACTTTAAGAACATCACCATCTTCTCCCTAACAACCATTAATGTCCTATCTAAGGCTTCCCCCACAACATTACCTTAAGAACACCACCATCTTCTCCCTAACAACCATTAATGTCCTATCTAATGCTTCCCCCAAAACATTACCTTAAGAACACCACCATCTTCTCCCTAACAACCATTATGTCCTATCTAAGACTTCCCCACAACATTACCGTAAGAACACCACCAATCATCTCCCTAATAACCATTAATGTCCTATCTAAGGCTTCCATACAAACATTACATTAAGAACACCACCATCATCTCCCTAACAACCATTAATGTCCTATCTAAGACTTCCCCCACAACATTACCTTAAGAACACCACCAATCATCTCCCTAACAACCATTAATGTCCTATCTAAGGCTTTCTCCACAACATTACCTTAAGTACACCACCATCTTCTCCCTAACAACCATCAATGTCCTATCTAAGGCTTCCCCAACAACATTACCTTAAGAACATCACCATCTTCTCCCTAACAACCATTAATGTCCTGTCTAAGGCTTCCTCCAAAACATTACCTTAAGAACACCACCATCTTCTCCCTAACAACCATTAATGTCCTATCTAAGGCTTCCTCCAAAACATTACCTTAGGAATACCACCATCTTCTCCCTAACAACCATTAATGTCCTATCTATGGCTTCCCCAACAACATTACCTTAAGAACACCACCATCTTCTCCCTAACAACCATAAATGTCCTATCTAAGGATTCGCCCACAACATTACCTTAAGAACACCACCATCTTCTAACAGATCCTTCAGGCCTTCCTCAAAGCATTCCTTCCCCATTTTCAGCACATCAAACAGAAAGACTTGTTGACGTACAACAATATTTAACCAGCAGAGTGTTCCTGACCTTCCTATACACACACCTTCCAATGCAACTCCTATTATCTTGTGGGTGTAAATCTCTCTCATCTGAAATATGGAAGGTCAGAATTAACACCAACATTGTTTACACCGCTAATTGTGTTATCTCATCCCCTGATCTCTAACAAACATTTTGAAGTGTAGCCCAGCTCTCTAGACCACTTCATTAGATTAGCAGTAAACAAAACTGTATGAAAAATATTGTTGTCAATAAGTTATTTTAAAATGCAACTGTTCGACAATTCGTTATGAATTTTTTACAAAATGTTTAAAGTAAGTATGGACAAAGGTTTAGAATAGTATAGCATTTCACCCTGGCAATATTTGATTTGGAAGACACAGAGTAATTTTCACAGGTCTCTCACACTCACCATCTTCTATTGTAATTGTGACAAAATAACATTAAACAAACTTCATTGTCAGTTCATGAGAACTATTATTTTTAATTTCTTGTTTGTTTTGTTTTTATTTTTTGGTGTAATTGTGATAAAATAACAATAAACAAACTTGCTGTCAGTTCATGAAAACTATTTTTTTTGTCAATTTTTTGTTTGTTTTTTTTTTTTAATTCTTGTGTAATTGTGATAAAAAACAACAAACAAATTTGATGTCAGTTCATGAGAACTATTTTTTTTAATGTCAGTACTATAAAGATAGCCTAGTGATAACAGATTCCAAATTAAGATGGTGGTCGATGACAAAATATGGTTAAAGAAATGGATCACATTAGTACAGAAAGTTCTTAGAATTTAAAGAACCTACATTCTATTGTAAATATAAAGATGTTGTGTTTTATTAATACAAATCGTGGCATAGTCCAGAATATACACATGTACTTAACGTTCTTCTAAAATTATCAGTTAAAAATTTACGAAATTTACTGAATAACGGGGCTACTGCACATTTTGATATTTTTTTCGATCACTTTGGGTTTTCCTATGTTGCCATTTAAGTTTAAAATTTAGCCCCTTAGCACCACTGATAAGACCTTGAAGGACAAAGTATCTGTATGAAGGAGTTTAAATCATTGTTTGGCTCTACTGTATCTTATCTAAATTTGTATTAATGGGTACTATGCACTTGAAAGGAAATGTTGTCCTGAATGATTTAAAGACCTTGTAGATAACAATGAAAACTTACCACTTTATCAAACTTGTCATCCACTTTATTGATGACCACAAACAAATTGTCAGTAATTTCCATGTCCTGGTCACTGGACTCATTGTCAGGGCTCTTTGATTCTAAAAACATTTAAAAAATGAAATTTATTAATTACTGGAGTCACGGTCAGAGACCTTTGATTCTAAAAACATTTCAAGATTAAAATTTATTAATTACTGGAGTCACGGTCAGAGACCTTTGATTAAAAAACATTTCAACAATGAAATTTATTGATTACTGATGTCACTGTCAGAGACCTTTGATTCTAAAAACATTTCAAGATTAAAATTTCCCGGTCACTGGAGCCATTGTCTAAGATTCTTAAAACATTCCAACCCAATATGAAAATCATTTTCTGTAATTGTAAATGATAAACAACTACAAATATGTGTAATGTTGATTATTACCTTTGGGCTATAACTTTCTGCCTAGACCTACATTTGTACATAGTCTATAATTCAATGTTATTCACACTCTATCTACTTCCTTTATAATTGGATTGCTCTGATACTTCCTTTTTTCCCTGTATAATCACATCCCTTTATTACATTATACATTTATGTACAAATATTGTTAAATTTGTTTAAAATGAGCACAAGAACAAAATTTCAAATCAATCCATCAATTTAGAATTAACTGCTAATTCCTAGAATCCCTCAAAATGACAAACTTTTTACTCAGTGTTAGCATTGCAGCAAATTTTGTCTCTATCTTTTAATCTGACTCATCTTGCCAGTCCTTTTGTTCAAGTACTTTTACTTTCAATGAATACTGAGCTAAATGTGACTATAACTGATATGATGGGTTTATTGAGGTTGATGTCAATTCTACCAGGAAACAGAAATCATGCATATAATTGAAAAAGTCTTACTTCCAATCTTTTGTTATAGTGAGATATTAATTCGCATGCGTGCTTGATGTTTCAACATGCCACTGTATTAATTTATGCAAGATCACTTTGTACTTAAATGGAATTAACTCCCTTGTACTTTAGAATTGAATTACCTCCCTTGTACTTTGAAATAGAATTATCTCCCTTGTACTATCAAGTCAACAGATGTGCAGCTTTTAAAATAAAAAAAGTTTTCCGATAGCTAATCCAATCATGAAGTTTATAAAGTTTGAAGTATGTCCTAGGAAAAAATAATTGTGTGTGTAGTGGAAACCTGCAGAGTTTAAAAATTTTGTCCTGTTTCCCACCCTTTCTAAAAGCTAGGATGGATAGATAATTACAAATGAAACAATAATGACATATATTACCAACATTTTGCATCTTTAAATTTCAAAACGCTTTCTTGTTTCAGTTTCTTCTTTTTTCTGACTTTTATTACTTCCTCTTTTCTATTTTTCTTGTCCTCTTAGTATTTATATACAAGAGAAGGTTTACTGGTCATAATTTCTATCCTTTTCATGCATACAGTAATACACAGTACCATAAATGTGTATCAAGAGGTCATCATATTACAAGGAAGTATATATGATGTACACTTACAAGTGAGACCAGATTATGTACCTGGCTTTACAGTTTGTTCAGAATCAGATTTCAGATCCTCTTTTGATGATATCCGCTTCAGCAGTTTATCTTTGGGATCAAATGATTGCAGTTTGTCCAAGTACGATGGAGTGTATTTACAAGACATCATCCGTGGTCCAGGATCCCTACATAATCAAATGGATCAACTGTTGTTATCATGTGAGGCTTTTATCAGGAGTTTCATTCTGTGAAATCGGTTTAGGAAATACAGTATAGATTCTTTATATATTTGTATTTGTGGAGCACAGAATTTCTAACAGAATATACTTGAATTTCACAAACAAACAGCATCATGCTTTCTTCTTAATATCACAAAGTTTACATGAGCATCCATACATGCTGAGATATGATGTATTATATCTTGTCATACATGTAAATGGTAGCTATAGACAAAGGGACCTGTAACAATGTTTCTGAATGATAACAGCTATAACTAGTAGATACAGTAAACCATATAATCCCTCATCCATCGAAAAAACTTGATATAGACCCCTGTGGCTACAAATTCATTACACATAAGGTAAGGATATATCCTTATATAAACCTCTATCATAACCAATTAAAAAAAAACTCAAATCTATTGTTACAAACCTTCCATCAATCTATTGTTATAAACCTCCAATCAATCTATTGTTACAAACCTCCTATCAATTTATAGTTACAAACATTCAATCAATCTATTGTTACAAACCTCCTATCAATCTATAGTTACAAACCTCCTATCAATCTATTGTCACAAACCTCCTATCAATCTATTGTTACAAACCTCCAATCTATTGTTACAAACCTCCAATCTATTGTTACAAACCTCCAATCAATCTATTGTTACAAACCTCCTATCAATCTTTTGTTACAAACCTCAAATCTATTATTACAAACCTCCAATCAATCTATTGTTACAAACCTCCAATCTATCTATTGTTACAAACCTCCTATCAATCTATTGTTACAAACCTCCAATCAATCTACTGTTACAAACCTCCTATCAATCTTTTGTTACAAACCTCCAATCTATTGTTACAAACCTCCAATCAATCTATTGTTACAAACCTCAAATCTATCTATTGTTACAAACCTCCTATCAATCTATAGTTACAAACCTCCAATCAATCTATTGTTACAAACCTCCAATCTATTGTTACAAACCTCCTATCAATCTTTGTTATAAACCTCACAAACCTCCAATCTATTGTTACATACCTCCAATCTATTGTTACAAACCTCCAATTAATCTATTGTTACAAACCTCCAATCTATTGTTACAAACCTCCAATCAATCTATTGTTACAAACCTCCTATCAATCTATTGTTACAAACCTCCAATCTATTGTTACAAACCTCCAATCAATCTATTGTTACAAACCTTCTATCAATCTATTGTTACAAACTTCCAATCTATTGTTACAAACCTCCAATCAATCTATTGTTACAAACCTCCAATCAATCTATTGTTACAAACCTCCAATCTATTGTTACAAACCTCCAATTAATCTATTGTTACAAACCTCCCATCAATCTATAGTTCCAAACCTCCAATCTATTGTTACAAACCTCCAATCAATCTATTGTTACAAACCTCCAATCAATCTATTGTTACAAACCTCCAATCAATCTATTGTTACAAACCTCCAATCAATCTATTATTACAAACCTCCAATCAATCTATTGTTACAAACCTCCAATCAATCTATTGTTACAAACCTCCAATCAATTTATATTTACAAACCTCCAATCAATCTATTGTTACAAACCTTCTATCAATCTATTGTTACAAACCTCCAATCAATCTATTGTTACAAACCTCCAATCAATCTATTGTTACAAACCTCCAATCTATTGTTACAAACCTCCAATCAATCTATTGTTACAAACCTCCAATCAATCTATTGTTACAAACCTCCAATCAATCTATTGTTACAAACCTCCTATCAATCTATTGTTACAAACCTCCAATCAATCTATTGTTACAAACCTCCAATCAATCTATAGTTACAAACCTCCTATCAATCTATTGTTACAAACCTCCAATCTATTGTTACAAACCTCCAATCAATCTATTGTTACAAACCTCCAATCTTTTGTTACAAACCTCCAATCAATCTATTGTTACAAACCTCCAATCAATCTATTGTTACAAACCTCCAATCTTTTGTTACAAACCTCCAATCAATCTATTGTTACAAACCTCCAATCAATCTATTGTTACAAACCTCCAATCTATTGTTACAAACCTCCAATCAATCTATTGTTACAAACCTCCTATCAATCTATAGTTTGATATATTTATATAAAAATATTGTAACCAATACAAAAACCAGAAATTTCAGATAAATATAAAACTATACAAACCTCCTATCTGGAACAAAACAGTCATTTTTTTCTTCTTTCTTTGATTTAATTTGTCCTTCCAAGACATCAACTTTATAAAAAAAAATGACAAAAAGTTTGTTACATTCATGGTTGTTATCAGTTATTAAATGACTATATTTGTTTCTAGGACATTAAAAAAATTACAGAAACTTGAAGCAGGATTTTCATCAGGGGAGAGATGGCTTATATTATTAAAATGAGGAAGATATAAATGAGTTAAGATTAAATTCAGTTTTATCTGAAGTAAATATGTTAAAATCATGCTATCAATAGTGTGATGTCCATACCTCCACTATCAATAGTGTGAAGTCAAAACCTCCACTATCTATAGTGTGATTTCAATACCTCCTGCTATCAATAGTGTGATGTCGTTACCTCATGCTATCAATAGTGTGATGTCAATACCTTATACTATCAATAGTATGATGTCAATACCTCATGTTATCAATAGTGTGATGTCAATACCTCATGTTATTAATAGTGTGATGTCAATACCTTATACTATCAATAGTGTGATGTCAATACCTCATGCTATCAATAGTGTGATGTCAATACCTTATACTATCAATAGTGTGATGTCAATACCTCATGCTATCAACAGTGTGATGTCAATACCTCCACTATCAATAGTGTAATGTCAATACTTCATGCTATCAACAGTGTGATGTCAATACCTCATGTTATCAATAGTGTGATGTCAATACCTCATGTTATCAATAGTGTGATGTCAATACCTCCACTATCAATAGCGTGATGTCAATATATCATGTTATCAATAGTGTGATGTCAATACCTCATGCTATCAACAGTGTGATGTCAATACCTCATACTATCAACGGTGTGATGTTAATACCTCATGCTTTCAAAAGTGTGATGTCAATACCTCCACTCTCTATAGTGTGATGTCAATATCTCATGTTATCAATAGTGTGATGCCAATACCTCATGCTATCAATAGTGTGATGTCAATATATCATGCTATCAATAGTGTGATGTCAATACCTCATGTTATCAATAGTGTGATGTCAATACCTCATGCTATCAATAGTGTGATGTCAATATATCATGCTATCAATATTGTGATGTCAATACCTCATGTTATCAATAGTGTGATGTCAATACCTCATGCTATCAATAGTGTGATGTCAATATATCATGTTATCAATAGTGTGATGTCAATAGTGTGATGTCAATACCTCATGCTATCAATAGTGTGATGTCAATACCTTATACTATCAATAGTGTGATGTAAATATATCATGCTATAAATAGTGTGATGTCAATACCTCATGTTATCAATAGTGTGATGTAAATACCTCCACTATCAATAGCGTGATCTCAATATATCATGCTATAAATAGTGTGGTGTCAATATATCATGTTATCAATAGTGTGATGTCAATACATCATGATTTCAAAAGTGTGATGTCAATACCTCCACTCTCTATAGTGTGATGTCAAAATCTCATGCTAGTAATAGTGTGATGACAATATATCATGTTATCAATGGTGTGGTGTCAATACCTCATGTTATCAATAGTGTGATGCCAATATATCATGCTATCAATAGTGTGATGTCAATATATCATGTTATCAATAGTGTGATGTCAATACCTCCACTTTCAATAGTGTGATGTCAATACCTCATGTTATCAATAGAGTGATGTTAATACCTTTAATATCAATAGTGTGATGTCAATACCTTATACTATCAATATTGTGATCTCAATATATCATGCTATAAATAGTGTGGTGTCAATATATCATGTTATCAATAGTGTGGTGTCAATACCTCATGCTTTCAAAAGTGTGATGTCAATACATCATGCTTTCAAAAGTGTGATGTCAATACCTCCACTATCAATAGGTGATGTCAATATATCATGCTATAAATAGTGTGGTGTCAATATATCATGTTATCAATAGTGTGGTGTCAATACATCATGTTATCAATAGTGTGATGTCAATATCTCCACTATCAATAGCGTGATGTCAATACCTCATGTTATCAATAGTGTGATGTCAATATCTCCACTATCAATAGTGTGATGTCAATACCTCATGTTATCAATAGAGTGATGTCAATACCTCATGCTTTAGTGTGATGTCAATACATCATCAAATCCACTCTCTATAATGTGATATCTCAATATCTTATGCTAGTAATAGTGTGATGTCAATATATCATGTTATCAATAGTGTGGTGTCAATACCTCATGTTATCAATAGTGTGATGCCAATACCTCATGTGTTCAATAGTGTGATGTCAATACCTCATCTTATCAATAGTGTGATGTCAATACCTCCACTATCAATAGTGTGATGTCAATACCTCATGTTATCAATAGTGTGATGTCAATACCTCATGTTATCAATAGTGTGATGTCAATACCTCATGTTATCAATAGTGTGATGTCAATACCTCCACTATCAATAGTGTGATGTCAATACCTCATGTTATCAATAGTGTGATGTCAATACCTCATGTTATCAATAGTGTGGTGTCAATACCTCATGCTTTCAAAAGTGTGATGTCAATACATCATGCTTTCAAAGGTGTGATGTCAATACCTCCACTCTCTATAGTGTGATCTCAATATCTTATGCTAGTAATAGTGTGATGTCAATATATCATGTTATCAATAGTGTGATGTCAATATATCATGTTATCAATAGTGTGATGTCAATACCTCATGTTATCAATAGTGTGATGCCAATACCTCATGTGTTCAATAGTGTGATGTCAATACCTCATCTTATCAATAGTGTGATGTCAATACCTCATCTTATCAATAGTGTGATGTCAATACCTCATCTTATCAATAGTGTGATGTCAATACCTCCACTATCAATAGTGTGATGTAAATACCTCATGTTATCAATAGTGTGATGTCAATACCTCATGTTATCAATAGTGTGATGTCAATACCTCATCTTATCAATAGTGTGATGTCAATACCTCCACTATCAATAGTGTGATGTCAATACCTCATGTTATCAATAGTGTGATGTCAATACCTCAAGTTATCAATAGTGTGTTGTCAATACCTCATCTTATCAATAGTGTGATGTCAATACCTCCACTTTCAACAGTGTGATGTCAATTTATCATGTTATCAATAGTGTGATGTCAATACCTCATGTTATCAATAGTGTGATGTCAATATCTCCACTGTCAAAAGTGTGATGTCAATACCTCCACTATCAATAGTATGGTGTCAATACATCATGCTATCAATAGTGTGATGTCAATACCTCCACTATCTATAGTATGATGTCAATATCTCCACTATCTATAGTGTGATGTCAATACCTCCACTAACAATAGTGGGATGTCAATACCTCCACTATCAATAGTGTGGTGTCAATAACTCATGCTTTCAAAAGTGTGATGTCAATACATCATGCTTTCAAAAGTGTGATGTCAATACCTCATGTTATCAATAGTGTGATGTCAATACCTCATCTTATCAATAGTGTGATGTCAATACCTCCACTATCAATAGTGTGATGTAAATACCTCATGTTATCAATAGTGTGATGTCAATACCTCATGTTATCAATAGTGTGATGTCAATACCTCATCTTATCAATAGTGTGATGTCAATACCTCCACTATCAATAGTGTGATGTCAATACCTCATGTTATCAATAGTGTGATGTCAATACCTCAAGTTATCAATAGTGTGTTGTCAATACCTCATCTTATCAATAGTGTGATGTCAATACCTCCACTATCAATAGTGTGATGTCAATACCTCATGTTATCAATAGTGTGATGTCAATACCTCATCTTATCAATAGTGTGATGTCAATACCTCCACTTTCAATAGTGTGATGTCAATACCTCCACTTTCAATAGTGTGATGTCAATATATCATGTTATCAATAGTGTGATGTCAATATCTCCACTATCAATAGTGTGATGTCAATACCTCATCTTATCAATAGTGTGATGTCAATACCACATCTTATCAATAGTGTGATGTCAATACCTCCACTATCAATAGTGTGATGTCAATACCTCATGTTATCAATAGTGTGATGTCAATACCTCATGTTATCAATAGTGTGATGTCAATACCACATCTTATCAATAGTGTGATGTCAATACCTCCACTATCAATAGTGTGATGTCAATACCTCATCTTATCAATAGTGTTATGTCAATACCTCATCTTATCAATAGTGTGATGTCAATACCTCCACTTTCAATAGTGTGATGTCAATTTATCATGTTATCAATAGTGTGATGTCAATACCTCATGTTATCAATAGTGTGATGTCAATATCTCCACTGTCAAAAGTGTGATGTCAATACCTCCACTATCAATAGTATGGTGTCAATACATCATGCTATCAATAGTGTGATGTCAATACCTCCACTATCTATAGTATGATGTCAATATCTCCACTATCTATAGTGTGATGTCAATACCTCCACTAACAATAGTGGGATGTCAATACCTCCACTATCAATAGTGTGGTGTCAATACCTCATGCTTTCAATAGTGTGATGTCAATACCTCATGTTATCAATAGTGTGATGTCAATACCTCATCTTATCAACAGTGTGATGTTATCAATAGTGTGATGTCAATACCTCATGTTATCAATAGTGTGATGTCAATACCTCCATCAATAATCCTATAAATAGTGTTGTCAATATATCATGTTATCAATAGTTATATAGTGTGATGTCAATACCTCCACTATCTATAGTGTGATGTCAATACCTTATATTATCAATAGTGTGATGTCAATACCTCATACTATGAATAGTGTGATGTCAATACCTCCACTATTAACAGTGTGATGTCAATACCTCCACTATCAATAGTGTAATGCAAAAACCTCATGCTATCAATAGTGTGATGTAAATACCTCATGTTATCAATAGTGTGATGTCAATACCTCCACAATCAATAGCATGATGTCAATATATCATGCTATTTATAGTGTGGTGTCAATATATCATGTTATCAATATTGTGTTGTCAATACCTCCATTATCGATAGTGTGGTGTCAATACCTCATGCTATCAATAGTGTGATGTCAATACCTCATGTTATCAATAGTGTGATGCCAATATCTCATGTTATCAATAGTGTGATGTCAATACCTCCACTTTCAATAGTGTGATGTCAATACCTCCACTTTCAATAGTGTGATGTCAATACCTCATGTTATCAATAGAGTGATGTCAATACCTCATGCTTTCAAAAGTGTGATGTCAATACCTCTACTATCTATAGTGTGATGTCAATACCTCATACTATCAATAGTGTGATGTCAATACCTCCACTCTCTATAGTGTGATGTCAATACCTCATACTATCAATAGCGTGATGTCAATATATCATGCTATCAATAGTGTGATGTCAATACTTCATGCTATCAATAGTGTGATGTCAATACCTCCACTATCAATAGTGTGATGTCAATACCTCATACCATCAATAGTGTGATGTCAATATCTCATGCTTTCAATAGTGTGATGTCAATACCTATCGCTATCAATATTGCAATGTAAATACCTCCACTATATATAGTGTGATGTCAATACCTCATGCTTTCAAAAGTGTGATGTCAATACCTCCACTATATATAGTGTGATGTCAATACCTCATGCTTTCAAAAGAGTGATGTCAATACCTCCACTATCTATAGTGTGATGTCAATACCTCCACTATCAATAGCGTGATGTCAATATATCATGCTATCAATAGTGTGATGTCAATACTTCATGCTATCAATAGTGTGATGTCAATACCTCCACTATCAATAGTGTGATGTCAATACCTCATACCATCAATAGTGTGATGTCAATATCTCACGCTTTCAATAGTTTGATGTCAATACCTATCGCTATCAATATTGCAATGTAAATACCTCCACTATATATAGTGTGATGTCAATACCTCATGCTTTCAAAAGTGTGATGTCAATACCTCCACTATATATAGTGTGATGTCAATACCTCATGCTTTCAAAAGAGTGATGTCAATACCTCCACTCTCTATAGTGTGATGTCAATACTTTCACTATCTATAGTGTGGTGTCAATATATCCTCTTATCAATAGTGTGATGTCAATACCTCATGTTATCAATAGCTTGATGTCAATACCTCCACTATCAATAGTGTGATGTCAATACCTCCACTCTCTATAGCCTGATGTCAATACCTCATACTATCAATAGTGTGATGTCAATACCTCATGCTATCAATAGTGTGATGTCAATATCTCCACTTTCAAAAGTGTGATGTCAATACCTCCACTATCAATAGTATGGTGTCAATACATCATGCTATCAATAGTGTGATGTCAATACCTCAACTAACAATAGTGAGATGTCAATACCTCCACTATCAATAGTGTGATGTCAATACCTCATGCTATCAATAGTGTGATGTAAATACCTCATGTTATCAATAGTCTGATGTCAATACCTCCACTATCAATAGTGTGATGTCAATACCTCATACCATCAATAGTGTGATGTCAATATCTCACGCTTTCAATAGTTTGATGTCAATACCTATCGCTATCAATATTGCAATGTAAATACCTCCACTATATATAGTGTGATGTCAATACCTCATGCTTTCAAAAGTGTGATGTCAATACCTCCACTATCTATAGTGTGATGTCAATATCTCATGCTAGTAATAGTGTGATGTCAATATATCATGTTATCAATAGTGTGATGTCAATACCTCCACTATCTATAGTGTGATGTCAATACCTCATGCTTTCAAAAGTGTGATGTCAATACCTTATGTTATCAATAGTGTGATGTCAATACCTCATGCTTTCAAAAGTGTGATGTCAATACCTCCACTATCTATAGTGTGATGTCAATACCTCATACTATCAATAGTGTGATGTCAATACCCCCACTATCAATAGTGTGATGTCAATACCTCATACTATCAATAGTGTGATGTCAATACCTCATACTTTCAATAGTGTGATGTCAATACCTCCACTATTAACAGTGTGATGTCAATACCTCATGCTAATAATAGTTAGATGTCAATTCATCATGCTGTCAATAGTGTGATGCCAATACCTTATGTTATCTATAGTGTGATGTCAATACCTCTACTATCAATAGTGTGATGTCAATATCTCACGCTTTCAATAGTGTGATGTCAATACCTAACGCTATCAATATTGTAATGTAAATACCTCACGCTATCAATAGTGTGATGTCAATACCTCATGTTATCAATAGTGTGATGTCAATACCTCCACTATCAATAGTGTGATGTCAATATATCATGCTATCAATATTGTGGTGTCAATACTTCATGCTATCAATAGTGTGATGTCAATACCTCCACTATCAATAGTGTGATGTCAATATCTCATACTATCAATAGTGTGATGTCAATATCTCACGCTTTCAATAGTTTGATGTCAATACCTGCACTATATATAGTGTGATGTCAATACCTCATGCTTTCAAAGGTGTGATGTCAATACCTCCACTATATATAGTGTGATGTCAATACCTCATGCTTTCAAAAGACTGATGTAAATACCTCCACTATCTATATTGTGATGTCAATACTTTAACTATCTATAGTGTGGTGTCAATATATCCTGTTATCAATAGTGTGATGTCAATACCTCCACTAACTATAGTGTGATGTCAATACCTCCAATATCTATAGTGTGATGTCAATACCTCATGTTATCAATAGTGTGATGTCAATACCTCCACTATCAATAGTGTGATGTCAATACCTCCACTAACAATAGTGAGATGTCAATACCTCCACTATCAATAGTGTGATGTCAATACCTCATGTTATCAATAGTGTGATGTCAATATCTCATGCTATCAATAGTGTGATGTCAATACCTCATGCTATCAATAGTGTGATGTCAATACCTCATGCTATCAATAGTGTGATGTCAATACCTCATGCTATCAATAGTGTGATGTCAATACCTTATGCTATCAATTGAAAAGGATGCATATGTTATTCTGTTGTTAAAATCTTCATAATTGGTGGAAATAAAGAGAAAAATAACATCAAACTGAATGTCTTGTCTAAAGGAAGCCATTTTACTTTTATCAGCAACACAAATTTGTTTCTTGTGTCCAACATTCAGATGTTTTTAAAAAAAATTCTATTTTTAAAAACCATAATCAATATTCATGTAGATACATAAAATATGTGTCTCTTTGCACCTATGATCATCAATAGCCATTGTATGTATACTAAGTATGTACTGATACAAAAAAATTGATTTGGAAATGTAAGGGGAGATAACCTCTATTGATCCTTCATTTTCCTTTCAATATAAAACCAACCTGAAACGATATCATCCCTGAAGAAATGTTTCAGGCCTTGAAACTTCCTCCCTGATGACGGAATGATAACTGAAATGAAATATTCAAAACCATAAATATTCAACTCATCAAGAACACAATACCACAATGAATATATTTTGGCATTAATTTATCTATTTTCTAAGTGTTGTTTATATTATAAAACAATAATTGTGGATGTATAAATTCATCATTGTACTAATTTTCCAAAAAGTCACAACGCGACATAATTTGATTGTGCCTAATTAAGTCCATTTAAAGTAGTACCAATACAAACACATCACATTATAAGCTTGTTGTAACATAATCTGGAGTTCTTATAAACAACACTTAACCTATTTTTTCTTTATGTTATCATAGCCTGTCATCATTTAACAGATTGTGTAAGTTTGCACTGTGGACTTAGATGTATATTTGTGAACATTTAAACTGAGTATTATCTACAAGTATTAAAAAAAACACCTTTATCTTTCTCTGTATTACAGTGTAAACAGATATTCTATAGTAAGATATTCATATTTAATGATTAAGTTTAGTTTTGTTAAAGCCAGTGTCACATTTGTATGACAAGAAAAAATAAAAATAAAATCAAGAAGCCCACAGGCCTTCAGCAGGGAGAAGGGTTTTTTTTTCTACTTCGCATGAAATTTCACTAAAAAGCTGTTTTCCATGATGCAGATGGTAGTTTTGGTGAGGAGCAGGTAACTGTAACAAGTAATATCCATTTTTTTGACAGTAAAGTTGGAGCTCAATCCAACTGGTGAAACTTGAAAAGTTTGAAATAGATGTTGCACAGGAAAACCATGATTTCACAATCATGTTACAAAATGGTCTCCCTGGTTGCCATGTGGAAGTTTTGACAAGGCCGAAAGATAACAACACTTTGTTGGTTACCTTTCCTTAACATTCCCACCAATGTTTAGCTCAATGGCACAAATGAAACTGTAGAAGAAGTTTAGAATATGTTTTTCAAGATGGTGGCCATCTTGATTTCAGACATACCCCAAAAATAACAACACTTGGATCATTTCATCCCACTTGTGGAACTTGAGAAGAAGTTTAAAATATCAAAAGTTTATACATGGCCCACGGCGGACAACAGATGAAGCACGATGGCTTTAGGTCATGATGACCTCATAATGGCATAAAAAATTACCATTATCATATCAAAAATTTTTGTTTTTTAGAGTCGCCAACCAACCCATTTTTCTTTCTTTTTTGTAACACATTGTAACAACCAAAACTCATAAACAAGAGATCTCAGAAGGGTCTTGGCACCCACCATTGTTTGATCTTCATATGCTCCATGAAAGTTGGAATTTTGTACCTTCTTTTCTTTTCTCTGTTTTTGCTCTTAATGATAAGACATTTGAACATTCCATTGCAGAAGTAGCGATGATGAACTTTACCTGCCAAATCCAAATTGGCCACCTGGAAGCCATTTTGTTTCTACTCAGCAGTCCTAAAAGGAAACGAGCACAAACAGAGACTAAAGGGAGCATACACATGAAATTTGAGAGATATCCATTTAGTACTTCTAAAGAAATAGCAATAAAAATCTTCACTACGCAAAATTCCAAGATGGCTGCCTGTCAGCCATTTTGTTTTTATGATCAGTCCCAAACTCAAACAGACAGAACTAAGGACCTAAAGAACCCTATACATGAAATTTGAGAAAGATCTATACAGTAGTTCTCAAGATATAGTGATTACAAACTTTCAAAGTCAAAATCAAAGATGACTGTTTCTAACCCAATGGGCACAACTAGGTACCAAGGGAAACCTACATATGAAATTTCAGAAAGATCCATCAAGTACTTCTCAAGAAATAGCAATAACAATCTTTCAAAGTGAAAATCCAAGATGGCCACCTGTCAGCCTTTTTGTCTTATTGATCAGTCTCAAAATTACATGGGCACAACTAGGGACCAAGGGGAACCTACAATTGCAATTAGAGAAAGATCCATCTTGTACTTTTCTAGGAATAGCTACAACAAATATTGTTTACGGACAACAGATGGACGATGGACAGACTGACGGACAACTGACCACAGATGCAGAGCGATTTGAATAGTCCACCATCTGATGAATAGACATGAAAAAGGTGGCACTGGAGTTTTTTTTATTGGTTACATAAAAGCACTAGTCTAGATTTAACAAATCATGCACTGATATAGACTCTGTCAATGGAAAAAAATATTTTGAGCATTGAGCATAGCATTGTCCAAGTACTAAATCTAGCAAAGTACCAGATTGCAGTCCTTCAGTAAACAAACACAAAGAGCATGTTTCTCTTGGAAATGTGGGGATCAGATTTCATCAAAAAGTTTGTACTGGTTTTACGATTCGTTTCTAGGTTTTTAAAGATGCATGCAATCAAGATAACTGTTGTCACATCTTGTGTAAATATGCTACTTGTTTAACATACAGGTAAGTCACTACTACAGGATTGTGACACTAATTATGTTTTGTAAGAAGCAAACTTTCAATTGGATAATTAATCTGGTAATTAATCATCAGACACCAAATGTGTGTACAATGTACTGATATACCATAATTAGCCATGTCTTGTACCAGGGACGTATAATACATATGTATTATACGTCCCTGCTTGTACACAGGTGACATTCTACTCTGTAATAGACTGTATACTGATTTCTTTTGAAGACATGCCAATATTTTGACAAAAATTAATTTTAAGGCGAAACATTGACTTATTCTTTGCTTTACCATTTTAGGGACTGAAAAATCGCTCAAGTGAAATTTCAACTCCATGAAATTTGAGTCATCCAATCCAAAATTACCATGATATAGAAGGGAAAAAAATCGGGACTTGGAAATTATTTTGACTAAAACAGAATTTTGACTGAAGCGATTTTGAGATGAGTTTCAACAGTATGTACATAAATAATTTTTGGGACTATATTTAAGTTCACTTGGTAACGATCTTATCTGAATCGTGAAACTCCGATCTATGATGAAGAAAAGCATGATAAGTATTTAATATAAGAAAAGATGCATTTTCCGTGGGTTTTTTAAAGCTGAAACATTAACATTCTTCAAAAATATCTCTGTTTCGACAATGTTTTGATGTAAACACAAAATAAAATGTGGGTCTCAATGAAGCACTTTATACTATATTCCAACTTTTTTCTATCAAACAGAAAGTTCACCAAATTTTAAAATATAACGACGAGCAGCAGAATCTAGACTCCTCGACTCTCCAAAGGGAGTTAACAACTTGCGTATTCGATTGATCGATACAAGTCTTCGAAAGACAGAATGTATTTAATACAAAATATACCTTTCTCAAGAGTAAGTTTGCCCATTGATTGGTCCATTGAATGTACGAATCCCTCATAATCCGTCCCATTCTCAAGCAGAATCTTTACTCGTCTCCCCGTGAACTCGGCCATATTTCGGTTGTTTCCGTGAAGGGAGATTACTCTAAATTATCTTAAAAGGAAAGTGAAAGTAGTCACAGACCTGACGATGATAAGACGGGTACTGAAAGCGTTTTGAAAGGGTTGACGTAGACCAACTGAAATCAGTTATTCCATTTTCGTTTTTGCGAACAATTATTGGTAAGAGTTCCTTTTGAACCCCCACCCAATGTGGCTACCAATGGGTTATTCTACCTGGTAAATATAATACAAGTGTCTGAAAGGGTTAATTTTAAGACCATGTCCTAATTTTTCTTGGTACCCCTTAAAGTAAACTCTTTTAGATACTTATTATAGCCTACTGGTAGTCATTTTGGGTGGGGGGTTCAAAAGGAACTCTTTTCCAATTATTTGTCCAAATTATTCCGACGTTCTTTCGACTTCTTTTATGTCACAACATACCGAGGCGTCATCGTCCGTCAATTTTCCCGAGAAATTTTTCACACTATAGCATTAAGTATAGGTCTTTTAAAAAGTTTGAAGAAATTACCTGTTTGGACGACTGTCTCATGTTCCCTGGTCAGTGATTGAAACATTCTCGTATGTAAACGATGAATTGAACGCATGGATAACATTATTTTTCAATGTAGTAGATAAACATGCACCTGTGCTTCCTTGAAAAGCCAATAAAACAGTTAGAACAACCAGAATGGCTGGATGATGATATTTTATCAAGTGTGCAGTTGAGAGACAAATTAAAACGTGACGTTGAACTTGACAAATATAGAATACATCGTATCCATATTGCTAAGTTGATTAGGGAGGTAAAAGCCACATATTGTAAAAATGTTATTGAAAACAATTTGGATAACCCTAGTAATCTCTGGAAATGTATTCCTGATCTTGCATGTAAAAAATCATCTCCCACGCCTATAATTATTTAGGTAGAAAATGAAAATATCTATGATAAAAATGAATAGCAAATCAATTCAACAGTTATTTTACAGTAGTTCCTGGAAAACTAACATCATGTTTAAGAAATACTAATTGTTCAATTTAAAATTTGAAGAATTTTGTAAATATTAATCTAGTTGGGGATTGTACTTTTTCCATTCCAACTATCCAACGATTTGAAATGGTTGTTTTCCTATAAAATAGAGAAAAAAAGGTAATTCCTTTGTACATTTCTGGAAGCACCTCTGAAGTTTGTAATTACAGACATATCTCTCAAGAGTCAAGAAGTTTTATTTAAAGACACATATTACAAACAGGACAAACATTAGCACTGTAGTGCTATTCTTCCTGTATTACCAATTTTACCCAAAATATTAGAACAACATGTACATGGCTCTATCAATATTGAGATACACATGACCTCCTTGTATCTTCACAATAAGTTTTCATGAAAAGCATTGTTGTGAAACAGTCCTTTTAAAAAAAGTTAATACATGAACAAACGATTTTGATAAATTTCTTGTAAACAGTGTTATTTTCTTAGATTTTTTATTTTACCAACCGTGTTTGAGAAACTAAAAACATACAAATGTGATTCAAATACCATTACATGGTTTGATTCATATCTTGATGACAGGTCACAAAAAGTAATTTTTGCAGGGATTATATCCACTATAAAGAAAATTACCTATGGGGTACCTCAAAGATCAATTCTGGGTCCCTTGATGTTTTTACTTTTCAATTAATGATTTAAAATTACACTTTCAATCTGAAACAGACATGACTGCCGATGGCTTCACTTTAACCAACTCGGGATCATCTGTACCTGATACACAGAGTAAACAACAGAAAGAATCCAGTTTAACCAACTCGGGATCATCTGTATCTGATACACAGAGTAAACAACAGAAAGACTCCACTTTAACCAACTCGGGATCATCTGTATCTGATACACAGAGTAAACAACAGAAAGACTCCACTTTAACCAACTCGGGATCATCTGTACCTGATTCACAGAGTAAACTACAGAAATACTCCACTTTAACCAACTCGGGATCATCTGTACCTTATATACAGAGTAAACAACAGAAAGACTCCACTTTAACCAACTCGGGATCATCTGTACCTGATACACAGAGTAAACAACAGAAAGACTCCACTTTAACCAACTCGGGATCATCTTTACATAATACACAGAGTAAACTACAGAAAGCTTTCACTTTAACCAACTCGGGATCATCTGTATCTGATACACAGAGTAAACAACAGAAAGACCCCACTTTAACCAACTCGGGATCATCTGTACCCGATACACAGAGTAAACTACAGAAAGACTCCACTTTAACCAACTCGGGATCATCTGTACCTTATACACAGAGTAAACAACAGAAAGACTCCACTTTAACCAACTAGGGATCATCTGTATCTGATTCACAGAGTAAACTACAGAAATACTCCACTTTAACCAACTCGGGATCATCTGTACCTGATTCACAGAGTAAACTACAGAAATACTCCAGTTTAACCAACTCGGGATCATCTGTACCTGATACACAGAGTAAACAACAGAAAGAATCCAGTTTAACCAACTCGGGATCATCTGTACCTGATACACAGAGTAAACAACAGAAAGAATCCAGTTTAACCAACTCGGGATCATCTGTACCTGATACACAGAGTAAACAACAGAAAGAATCCAGTTTAACCAACTCGGGATCATCTGTATCTGATACACAGAGTAAACAACAGAAAGAATCCAGTTTAACCAACTCGGGATCATCTGTACCTGATACACAGAGTAAACTACAGAAAGACTCCACTTTAACCAACTCGGGATCATCTGTACCTGATACACAGAGTAAACTACAGAAAGACTCCACTTTAACCAACTCGGGATCATCTGTACCTGATACACAGAGTAAACTACAGAAAGACTCCACTTTAACCAACTCGGGATCATCTGTACCTGATACACAAAGTGAACTACAGAAAGACTCCACTTTAACCAACTCGGGATCATCTGTATCTGATACACAAAGTGAACTACACAAAGACCTTGAAAATATGGATCCCTGGTGTAATGATAACAAAATGATAGTTAATGTAAATGAAACTAAATGTATTCCTACTGCTTCCAAACAGAAACTTGGGATACTCAATCTTTCACTAAGGGAGGCAACTGTGTCCCAGGTGAAATGTGAAAAATCACTTAGAACAAAAATTGATGACCGTTGATCATGGTCAGCGCATATTTCCTCGGTTGTTTCCAAAATCAACCAAGGTTTAGGGTTACTAAGGTGTATTCAACAATTTTTACCAATAGAAGGCCGCTTGAAATTTAACAGTGCTTGTGTTTTTCCTCATTTCATGTACTGTAATACAGTCTGATCTGGAAGTACATAAGCTTCTCTAGACAAACTGTCAAAAGTTCAGAAGTGTGTCGCCAGATTGATTTTAGACAAATCATATGATGCTCCTTCAGCAGAAATGTTTAGAATCTTTAAATGGATGCCAATTCAAATATAGTTTCAGTTCAAAAAGTCAATTATGACAAAGAAAGGTATCAATGTACCACAATATGTTTCAGTGACTCATTTTGGCTGGAAATGTTCATCAGCGGTCAACAAGGCAGATATCTAGTAAAAAGGTTTTGGTTCCAAATCACATGACAATTTACTATTCGAAGCATTTATATATATAATATCTCTGTCAGGAATAGAACAAACCTCCAAATGAAATCAAAACTGAAGCATCTTTTATATGTTCAAACAAAAACTAGTGTGCTATTATTTGAAAACTTAACAAACTAATTTTGAGATTTTCTTTCCAGTACCAGTAATGTTTTACTTTATGCTATGTTAGCGTATAACTATGTTAATTTTTACACTTTACTATATAAGTATGTATGTATGGTACACAAATTGTCCTTTAATGATAAACCTATTCACACATACTCGTGTGCATTCTGTGACATTCTTAATTATATGCCAGTGATAAATGTATCATAATTGATAATTATGTTGTGAACAATCATGTATTTTTACCTGTTCCATGTTTTACTAACAAGAGGACCCTGTGGAAGATTAGCCTCGGTTAAACAGGTTCTTAAATCCTCATGAAATAAAGTCTATTACGATTACTATTATAACAATGACTTATAAAGTAATGGACGATGTATCAGAAACATTGACAAATAACGTTTTTGATCCATTTCACGAGCCAGTTTCTCACCTTATTAAAACAACATAAAAATAGATATACTGACGAATAATACCCCACATTGGAGTACCACCAAGGAGTGTGAAAGATGTTCTTACTTTACACAGTTAAATGTACTTTGATATGCACGGATAAATAATTATAAGGTCTGTATATCCTTCTTACTTAGATTTTACTTGTATCTAGTTCAGATGAATGTACTTTATTTTTTTTAAGCTTCAGACCGATGGACCAGTTATAATTTTAGCTACGTCTTATTCAAATATTTATTTATTTATTTTTATTTATTCAACAATATTCTATTGACTCTAAATATATTTGTATGTTGTTCCCAAACCCGTGTTTGTCGCAATAGTAGCTCACATAAGCTGATGGTCATTGTAAGTACGTATGTTAAATAAAGTGTGTGATATCCTGCATATCTATTGCAATCAATCTATAAGGAACTGAGAGCTAGTCACATACACGACAGAAAATATAGGACTTTCTAATAGGGGATATTCGAACACAAAACTAGTACCTTAAAACCTTTGTTATTATCAACCATAAAAAAACGTTAATTTCATCGATGTTTTCCATAGTGTACAACAACAGGTCTCACTTGTAAATAATACTTATTTGTAATGGAGCATTTCCGTGTGTGTCATAATTCCAATTGTATTATGTTTTATTGTCTCATTAAGGTGCTTTATTCCTTAATAAAACTGACGGTGAAATGTACTCAATAGTAATAATACCAAATGTCATTACACTCATATTGTCTTGAGTATTCTTAACTGGTGACCCGAGGAAATGTTCAAACCGATTTACCTATCTACATAGTGAATAACCGTTTTGAATTTATCAGTTTAGGATATATGGTATGGTGTTCTTCATTTGTTTTAGTTAAAAAAGCTGTATGTCCACACAAGCCTGTATTATAACGATATTCATCCTCCACATTCCTTCTGCAAAGGCCATAAAGCTGTGAATTTGTTCAAAACAATATTTTTACATTAATCTTCTTAAGATCTTTCTCACAATCATGTTTTTTTTATTCGTCAAATGATATACATCTCCTCTTGACGAGTTATTGTCCATTTAATTTATCAAATAAACCAATGGGATCAAATACTTTGTATTCGCGGTCCCCAACAGGGTGACAAGTGTTTATCACAATCCAGCTGATATACTGACAAAGCGAGGCGAAGGGAAGTAACTCTGGCAGATCAGAGTGAACTTGAACAGTCGTTACATTTGACCGCAAATGAGAACAATTAAAACTTGGTTATGAGATCAAATTTGCACAATATATGTCATTTCATGTTATGATCGTACCGTAATATTTCTTTTCAATATGCCGTCCACAGGTGGAAAAGTTTTCAGGGAACTGGTGACGGGGGATTATATTACAAAATGCCCCCAAAAAGTCGGTCGTGACTGCCTCGCAGACTAAATATAGCTATAACAGTACTCTGTCGGTACCCTTACTTATCTTCCCACCAATATCCATCTCACTTTCAATACAACTGAGGATGAAGTTGTTTGTCTGCTGTGTCTATCGCCCCGTGAACAGACAAAGTCATTGCGGACTGGTGACTGCCTCATGGAACAACATGATATACCGTCGCAATTCAGTCAAAACAATTTGAATTATTTACCCGAGGATACAACCACGAGAGCACTGACCGATCTCTTTTTCCCGAGAAACCGAATAAACCCGCTGCAAGAAGGAATGAGACTGCGAATCACGGATCTGAACACGAGGTTTCATAGGACCGACGATCTACCCACCGAGCTGTAGCGCCCCCTACATTATGTATGGAACATGAATTTTCCCTAACACCTTGCTTTTAACATAACCATATTTGTATGTTAGTTATTGTAAAGGTTCTGGAAAAGAAAGACCCGCCTACCTGCCTGCCTGTAAAACCCTCATCCCAGACACCAGATTATAAAACCAAGATGTTTACCCTCGTTCCAGACACCAGATTATAAAACCAAGATGTATAACCTCGTTCAAGACACCAGATTATAAAACCAAGATGTATAACCTCGTTCCAGACACCAGATTATAAAACCAAGATGTATACCCTCGTTCCAGACACCAGATTATAAAACCAAGATGTATACCCTCGTTCCAGACACCAGATTATAAAACCAAGATGTATAACCTCGTTCAGACACCAGATTATAAAACCAATATGTATAACCTCGTTCCAGACACCAGATTATGAAACCAAAATGTATACCCTAGTTCCAGACACCAGATTATAAAACCAAAATGTATACCCTAGTTCCAGACACCAGATTATAAAACCAAGATGTATACCCTAGTTCCAGACACCAGATTATAAAACCAAGATGTATACCCTCGTTCCAGACACCAGATTATAAAACCAAGATGTTTACCCTCGTTCCAGACACCAGATTATAAAACCAAGATGTATACCCTCGTTCCAGACACCAGATTATAAAACCAATACGTATAACCTCGTTCAAGACACCAGATTATAAAACCAAGATGTATACCCTCGTTCCAGACACCAGATTATAAAACCAAGATGTTTACCCTCGTTCCAGACACCAGATTATAAAACCAAGATGTATAACCTCGTTCAAGACACCAGATTATAAAACCAAGATGTATACCCTCGTTCCAGACACCAGATTATAAAACCAAGATGTTTACCCTCGTTCCAGACACCAGATTATAAAACCAAGATGTATACCCTCGTTCCAGACACCAGATTATAAAACCAAGATGTTTACCCTCGTTCCAGACACCAGATTATAAAACCAAGATGTATACCCTCGTTCCAGACACCAGATTATAAAACCAATACGTATAACCTCGTTCAAGACACCAGATTATAAAACCAAGATGGATACCCTCGTTCCAGACACCAGATTATAAAACCAAGATGTTTACCCTCGTTCCAGACACCAGATTATAAAACCAAAATGTATACCATCGTTCCAGACACCAGATTATAAAACCAATACGTATAACCTCGTTCAAGACACCAGATTATAAAACCAAGATGTTTACCCTCGTTCCAGACCCTAAATCAGTTAACTCTATAGTGACTCCGTCCCAAGCAACAAATTAAATAACCATAAGTATCCCAACCCTGAACAATAAATGAAAACCCTTGAAATAGTCCATTGAATCATGTACTCCATATTCATAACAAATGTATTTATCTACAAATAATATTACGAAAAATGAATACAGATATTTGATTATATATGTATATACAGATCAACAATTATCTCTGAAAGAAAATAAACCTTAAGTTCGTAAGCAACTAGATATCATAGACACTTATGTATCTATAACTATAAAGACGGGCGGTATTTTGTTAATAGATTTTCTCCGGGATTTGTTTTACATCACACTACACACTGTATTTGTGTGTGTGTTAGGTCATGGACTTCAACATAGAATCTACGGAAGGGTATTAGTGCAACTTTCAAACTTTTTTTTTTACGCATATTAATCGGTAAATTTTACACATAAATCTGTAAATTTACCATTTTAAACTGTAAATTTTTCACTTTGATCTGTAATTTTTACACTTTGATCTGTAAATTTTACACTTTGATCTGTAATTTTTACACTTTGATCTGTAAATTTTTCACTTTGATCTGTAATTTTTACACTTTGATCTGTAAATTTTACACTTTGATCTGTAATTTTTACACTTTGATCTGTAAGTTTTACACTTTGATCTGTAATTTTTACACTTTGATCTGTAAATTTTTCACTTTGATCTGTAATTTTTACACTTTGATCTGTAAATTTTACACTTTGATCTGTAATTTTTACACTTTGATCTGTAAATTTTACACTTTGATCTGTAAATTTTACACTTTGATCTGTAATTTTTACACTTTGATCTGTAAATTTTACACTTTGATCTGTAATTTTTACATTTTGATCTGTAAATTTTACATTTTGATCTGTAAATTTTACACTTTGATCTGTAATTTTTACACTTTGATCTGTAAATTTTACTTATTTTTTACAAGTT